CACAGTGACACACACAGTGACACACACACAGTGACACACACAGTGACACACACACACACAGTGACACACACACACAGTGACACACACAGTGACACACACACAGTGACACACACAGTGACACACACACACACAGTGACACACACACACAGTGACACACACAGTGATACACACAGTGATACACACAGTGACACACACACACACTGTGACACACACAGTGACACACACACACACACAGTGACACACACACAGTGACACACACACACACACACAGTGACACACACACAGTGACACACACACACAGTGACACACACACAGTGACACACACACACACAGTGACACACACACAGTGACACACACACACAGTGACACACAGTGACACACACACAGTGACACACACACACACACAGTGACACACACACACAGTGACACACACACACAGTGACACACACACAGTGACACACACAGTGACACACACACACACAGTGACACACACACAGTGACACACACACACACAGTGACACACACAGTGACACACACAGTGACACACACACACAGTGACACACACACAGTGACACACACAGTGACACACACAGTGACACACACACACAGTGACACACACACAGTGACACACACACACAGTGACACACACAGTGACACACACACAGTGACACACACACAGTGACACACACACACACACAGTGACACACACAGTGTCACACACACACACAGTGTCACACACACACAGTGACACACACAGTGACACACACACAGTGACACACACAGTGACACACACACACACACAGTGACACACACACACAGTGACACACACAGTGACACACACACAGTGACACACACACAGTGACACACACACACACAGTGACACACACACACAGTGACACACACACACAGTGACACACACACACACACAGTGACACACACACACACACAGTGACACACACACACAGTGACACACACACACAGTGACACACACACACACACAGTGACACACACACACACACAGTGACACACACACACACACACAGTGACACACACACACACACAGTGACACACACACACACACACAGTGACACACACACACAGTGACACACACACACAGTGACACACACACACACAGTGACACACACACACAGTGACACACACACACAGTGACACACACACACACAGTGACACACACAGTGACACACACACACAGTGACACACACAGTGACACACACACAGTGACACACACAGTGACACACACAGTGACACACACACACAGTGACACACACAGTGACACACACACACACACAGTGACACACACACAGTGACACACACACAGTGACACACACACACACAGTGACACACACAGTGACACACACACAGTGACACACACACAGTGACACACACAGTGACACACACACACAGTGACACACACAGTGACACACACACACACACACAGTGACACACACACAGTGACACACACACACAGTGACACACACAGTGACACACACAGTGACACACACACAGTGACACACACACAGTGACACACACAGTGACATAGTGACACACACACACACAGTGACACACACACACACAGTGACACACACACACAGTGACACACACAGTGACACACACAGTGACACACACACAGTGACACACAGTGACACACACAGTGACATAGTGACACACACACAGTGACACACACACACACAGTGACACACACACAGTGACACACACAGTGACACACACACAGTGACACACACACACAGTGACACACACACACAGTGACACACACACACAGTGACACACACACACAGTGACACACACAGTGACACACACACACACAGTGACACACACACAGTGACACGCACACACAGTGACACACACACAGTGACACACACACACAGTGACACACACACAGTGACACACACAGTGACACACACAGTGACACACACACACAGTGACACAGTGACACACACACACAGTGACACACACACACAGTGACACACACAGTGACACACACACAGTGACACACACAGTGACACACACAGTGACACACACACACAGTGACACACACACACACAGTGACACACACACACAGTGACACACACAGTGACACACACACAGTGACACACACAGTGACACACACAGTGACACACACAGTGACACACACACACAGTGACACACACACACAGTGACACACACAGTGACACACACAGTGACACAGTGACACACACACACAGTGACACACACACACACACACAGTGACACACACACAGTGACACACACACAGTGACACACACAGTGACACACACAGTGACACAGTGACACACACACACACAGTGACACACACACACAGTAACACACACACACACAGTGACACACACAGTGACACACACACAGTGACACACACACATACACACAGTGACACACACAGTGACACACACAGTGACACACACACAGTGACAAACACTGCAACATATTGTGGCGAACGAGCTTGGTGAGTGAGCACGGTGAGCGAGCGTGGTGAGCGTGGTGAGCGTGGTGAGTGTGGTGCGCGTGGTGAGCACGGTGAGCGTGGTGAGCGTGGTGCACGTGGTGAGTGTAGTGAGTGAGCGTGGTGAGCGTGGTGAGCGTGGTGAGTGTGAGCGTGGTGAGTGTGGTGAGCGTGGTGAGTGTGAGTGTGGTGAGCGTGGTGAGTGTGGTGAGTGCTCACCGGGGAGCCTGCCCAGGAGCCAGGCGAGCTGCCGGTGAGAGACGCTGGTGTTGGTGAGGAGCAGTGAGCGTGGTGAGCGTGGTGAGCGTGGTGAGTGTGAGCGTGGTGAGCGTGGTGAGCGTGGTGAGCGTGGTGAGCGTGGTGAGTGTGAGTGTGGTGAGCGTGGTGAGCGTGGTGAGCGTGGTGAGTGTGAGTGTGGTGAGCGTGGTGAGCGTGGTGAGTGTGAGTGTGGTGAGCGTGGTGAGCGTGGTGAGTGTGAGTGTGGTGAGCGTGGTGAGCGTGGTGAGTGTGGTGAGCGTGGTGAGCGTGGTGAGTGTGAGTGTGGTGAGCGTGGTGAGCGTGGTGAGTGTGAGCGTGGTGAGCGTGGTGAGCATGGTGAGTGTGAGCGTGGTGAGCGTGGTGCGCGTGGTGAGTGTGAGCGTGGTGAGTGTAGTGAGTGTGAGCGTGGTGAGCGTGGTGAGTGTAGTGAGTGAGTGTAGTGAGTGAGCGTGGTGAGTGTGAGCGTGGTGAGTGTGGTGAGTGTGGTGAGTGTAGTGAGTGTGAGCGTGGTGAGCGTGGTGAGCTTGGTGAGCTTGGTGAGTGTAGTGAGTGTGAGCGTGGTGAGCGTGGTGAGCGTGGTGAGTGTGAGTGTGGTGAGTGTGGTGAGTGTGGTGAGTGTGAGCGTGGTGAGTGTGGTGAGCGTGGTGAGCGTGGTGAGTGTGGTGAGTGTGAGCGTGGTGAGCGTGGTGAGTGTGAGCGTGGTGAGTGTGGTGAGCGTGGTGAGCATGGTGAGTGTGAGCGTGGTGAGCGTGGTGAGCGTGGTGAGTGTGGTGAGTGTGGTGAGTGTAGTGAGTGTGAGCGTGGTGAGCGTGGTGAGCGTGGTGAGTGTGGTGAGTGTGAGCGTGGTGAGCGTGGTGAGTGTGAGCGTGGTGAGTGTGGTGAGCGTGGTGAGTGTGAGCGTGGTGAGTGTAGTGAGTGTGAGCGTGGTGAGCGTGGTGAGCATGGTGAGCGTGGTGAGCGTGGTGAGTGTAGTGAGTGTGAGCGTGGTGAGTGTAGTGAGCGTGGTGAGCGTGGTGAGCGTGGTGAGTGTAGTGAGTGTAGTGAGTGTAGTGAGTGTGAGTGTGGTGAGCGTGGTGAGTGTGAGCGTGGTGAGTGTGGTGAGTGTAGTGAGTGTGAGCGTGGTGAGCGTGGTGAGTGTAGTGAGTGAGTGTAGTGAGTGAGCGTGGTGAGTGTGAGCGTGGTGAGTGTGGTGAGTGTGGTGAGTGTAGTGAGTGTGAGCGTGGTGAGCGTGGTGAGCTTGGTGAGCTTGGTGAGTGTAGTGAGTGTGAGCGTGGTGAGCGTGGTGAGCGTGGTGAGTGTGAGTGTGGTGAGTGTGGTGAGTGTGGTGAGTGTGAGCGTGGTGAGTGTGGTGAGCGTGGTGAGCGTGGTGAGTGTGGTGAGTGTGAGCGTGGTGAGCGTGGTGAGTGTGAGCGTGGTGAGCGTGGTGAGTGTGAGCGTGGTGAGTGTGGTGAGCGTGGTGAGCATGGTGAGTGTGAGCGTGGTGAGCGTGGTGAGCGTGGTGAGTGTGGTGAGTGTGGTGAGTGTAGTGAGTGTGAGCGTGGTGAGCGTGGTGAGCGTGGTGAGTGTGGTGAGTGTGAGCGTGGTGAGCGTGGTGAGCGTGGTGAGCGTGGTGAGTGTGGTGAGTGTGAGCGTGGTGAGCGTGGTGAGTGTGAGCGTGGTGAGTGTGGTGAGCGTGGTGAGTGTGAGCGTGGTGAGTGTAGTGAGTGTGAGCGTGGTGAGCGTGGTGAGCATGGTGAGCGTGGTGAGCGTGGTGAGTGTAGTGAGTGTGAGCGTGGTGAGTGTAGTGAGCGTGGTGAGCGTGGTGAGCGTGGTGAGTGTAGTGAGTGTAGTGAGTGTAGTGAGTGTGAGTGTGGTGAGCGTGGTGAGTGTGAGCGTGGTGAGTGTGGTGAGTGTAGTGAGTGTGAGCGTGGTGAGCGTGGTGAGCGTGGTGAGCGTGGTGAGCGTGAGTGTGGTGAGCGTGGTGAGCGTGGTGAGTGTGAGTGTGGTGAGCGTGGTGAGCGTAGTGAGTGTGAGTGTGGTGAGCGTAGTGAGTGTGAGTGTGGTGAGCGTGGTGAGCGTGGTGAGCGTGGTGAGCGTGGTGAGCGTGGTGAGCGTGGTGAGTGTAGTGAGTGTGAGCGTGGTGAGCGTGGTGAGTGTAGTGAGTGTGAGTGTGGTGAGCGTGGTGAGCGTGGTGAGCGTGGTGAGTGTGGTGAGCGTGGTGAGCGTGGTGAGCGTGGTGAGCGTGGTGAGTGTGGTGAGCGCTCACCGGGGAGCCTGCCCAGGAGCCAGGCGAGCTGCCGGTGAGAGACGCTGGTGTTGGTGAGGAGCAGTGAGCGTGGCTGGTGCCTCACCACGGCGGTGAGCAGGGCCGGGGAAACTCGGCGGCAACCGGAAAGATCCATCCTCACCCAGAGCCGGCGGTCACTACACCTGGACAACCATCACCATCACCACCACCATCACCACCACCACCATCACCACCATCACCACCACCATCCTTACCATCACCATCACCACCATCACCACCATCACCACCATCCTCACCCAGAGCCGGCGGTCGCTACACCTGGACCATCACCAACACCACCATCACCACCATCACCACCATCACCACCATCATCACCATCACCACCACCATCATCACCATCACCACCATCACCACCATCATCACCACCATCACCACCATCACCATCACCACCATCATCACCACCATCATCAACAACACCATCAACACCATCACTACCACCATCATCACCATCACCACCACCATCACCACCATCATCACCATCACCACCATCACCACCACCATCACCACCATCACCACCACCATCACCACCATCACCACCACCATCACCACCATCACCACCACCGCCACCACCATCACACCATCATCACCACCATCACCATCACCACCATCACCACCATCACCACCACCACCACCATCACCACCATCCTCACCCAGAGCCGGCGGTCGCTACACCTGGACCATCATCACTATCACCACCATCACCATCATCACCACCATCATCACCATCACCACCATCACCACCATCATCACCCAGAGCCGGCGGTCGCTACACCTGGACAACCACCATCACCACCATCACCACCACCATCACCACCATCACCATCACCACCACCATCACCACCATCACCATCACCACCACCATCACCATCACCACCACCACCACCATCACCACCATCCTCACCCAGAGCCGGCGGTCGCTACACCTGGACAACCACCATCACCACCATCACCATCACCACCACCATCACCACCACCATCACCACCACCATCCTCACCCAGAGCCGGCGGTCGCTACACCTGGACCATCACCATCACCACCATCATCACCATCACCACCATCACCACCATCACCACCATCACCATCAACACCATCACTACCACCATCATCACCATCACCACCACCATCACCACCATCATCACCACCACCATCACCACCACCATCCTCACCCAGAGCCGGCGGTCGCTACACCTGGACCACCATCACCATCACCACCATCACCATCATCACCACCATCACCATCACCACCACCACCACCACAACCACCATCACCACCATCCTCACCCAGAGCCGGCGGTCGCTACACCTGGACCATCACCAACACCACCAACACCACCATCACCACCATCATCACCATCACCACCATCACCACCATCATCACCACCATCACCACCATCACCACCATCATCACCACCATCATCAACAACACCATCAACACCATCACTACCACCATCATCACCATCACCACCACCATCACCACCATCACCACCATCATCACCATCACCACCATCACCACCACCATCACCACCATCACCACCACCATCACCACCATCACCATCACCACCATCACCACCACCGCCACCACCATCACACCATCATCACCACCATCACCATCACCACCACCACCACCATCACCACCATCACCACCATCACCACCACCATCTCCACCATCACCATCATCACCACCATCACCACCATCACCACCACCACAATCACCACCATCACCACCATCACCACCACCACCATCACCACCATCACCACCACCATCTCCACCATCACCATCATCACCACCATCACCACCATCACACTCCAACAGGTACATCCTTAGAGAAGCGACAGCCTCTCCTCCACACACACCCCAGAACAAGTCTACCAGACCTCCTGCACTCCACAGAGGTGCAGGCGGTACCGGTCCAGCTCCAGACAGATGAGTGGCAGCCTCTCCTCCACACCCATACCAGAACAAGTCTACTAGGCCTCCTGTAATCCACAGAGGTTCAGCTCCAGACAGAGAAGCGGGCAGCCTTTCCTCCACACACCCAAACTAGAACAAGTCTACTAGGCCTCCTGCACTCCACAGAGATCCAGGCGGTTCCGGTCCAGCTCCAGACAGAGAAGTGGCAGCCTCTCCTCCACATCAACACCAGAACAAGTCTACTAGGCCTCCTTCCACAGAGGTGCAGGCGGTACCGGTCCAGCTCCCGACAGGGAAGTGGCAGCCTCTCCTCCACACACACACACACCAGAACAAGTCTACTAGGCTTCCTGTAATCCACAAAGGTGCAGGCAGTACCGGTCCAGCTCCAGACAGAGAAGTGGCAGCCTCTCCTCCACACCAATACCAGAACAAGTCTACTAGGCCTCCTTCCACAGAGGTTCAGCTCCAGACAGATGAGTGACAGCCTCTCCACACACACACACACCAGAACAAGTCTACTAGGCCTCCTGCACTTCACAGAGGTGCAGGCGGTACCGGTCCAGCTCCCGACAGAGGAGTGGCAGCCTCTCATGCAAATAAACACACCTACACCTGAACCAGCGCACCGGACCTCCTAAATGCCACGTTGATCCAGGCGGTACCGGTCCAGCTCCAGACAGAGAAGCGGCAGCCTCTCCTCCACACACACCAGAACAAGTCTACTAGGCCTCCTTCCACAGAGGTCCAGCTCCTGACAGAGGAGTGGCAGCCTCTCCTCCACACACCCCAGAACAAGTCTACTAGACCTCCTGCACTCCACAAAGGTGCAGGCAGTACCGATCCAGCTCCCGACAGAGGAGTGGCAGCCTCTCCTCCACACACACACAAACCAGAACCGGTCCATCTGTACTCCACAGAGATCCAAGCGGTACCGGTCCAGCTCCAGACAGAGAAGTGGCAGCCTCTCCTCCACATCAACACCAGAACAAGTCTACTAGGCCTCCTGTAATCCACAGAGGTGCAGGTGGTACCAGTCCAACTCCAGACAGATGATTGACAGCCTCTCCTCCACATCAACACCAGAACAAGTCTACTAGGCCTCCTTCCACAGAGGTCCAGCTCCCGACAGAGGAGTGGCAGCCTCTCCACACACACACACCCCAGAACAAGTCCACTAGACCTCCTGCACTCCACAAAGGTGCAGGCAGTACCGATCCAGTTCCCGACAGAGGAGTGGCAGCCTCTCCTCCACACACACACAAACCAGAACCGGTCCATCTGTACTCCACAGAGATCCAAGCGGTACCGGTCCAGCTCCAGACAGAGAAGTGGCAGCCTCTCCTCCACATCAACACCAGAACAAGTCTACTAGGCCTCCTGTAATCCACAGAGGTGCAGGTGGTACCAGTCCAACTCCAGACAGATGATTGACAGCCTCTCCTCCACATCAACACCAGAACAAGTCTACTAGGCCTCCTTCCACAGAGGTCCAGCTCCCGACAGAGGAGTGGCAGCCTCTCCACACACACACACCCCAGAACAAGTCCACTAGACCTCCTGCACTCCACAAAGGTGCAGGCAGTACCGATCCAGTTCCCGACAGAGGAGTTGCAGCCTCTCCTCCACACACACACACACACCAGAACCGGTCCATCTGTACTCCACAGAGATCCAAGCGGTACCGGTCCAGCTCCCGACAGATGAGTGACAGCCTCTCCTCCACAAACACCAGAACAAGTCTACTAGGCCTCCTTCTACAGAGGTTCAGCTCCAGACAGACGAGTGGCAGCCTCTCCTCCACACACACCAGAACAAGTCTACTAGGCCTCCTGCACTCCACAGAGATCCAGGCGGTACCGGTCCAGCTCCCGACAGAGAGAGCGGCAGCCTCTCCACACACACACACACACCAGAACAAGTCTACTAGGCCTCCTGCACTCCACAGAGATCCAGGCAGTACCGGTCCAGCTCCCGACAGAGACAGCGGCAGCCTCTCCACACACACACACACACCAGAACAAGTCTACTAGGCCTCCTGCACTCCACAGAGATCCAGGCGGTACCGGTCCAGCTCCCGACAGAGACAGCGGCAGCCTCTCCTCCGCAGTGAGCGTTCGGACATTCCACGTGGCCACCCGCAGTGGCTTTTCGTTGTTTCTGGAGGAGCCCCGAGGGTTGAGATTCAGTCTCCTGGCTCCGCCAATTGGGGTTTGACCAGAAGACGTCACAGACGCCTGGCCCCCCGTCACCCCCCCACTCACCCCGCACTCACCACTCACCCCGCACTCACCCCGCACTCACCACTCACCCCGCACTCACCACTCACCCCGCACTCACCCCGCACTCACCACTCACCCCCGCACTCCCCCACTCACCCCGCACTCACCACTCACCCCGCACTCCCCACTCACCCCGCACTCCCCACTCACCCCGCACTCACCACTCACCCCGCACTCACCCCGCACTCACCACTCACCCCGCACTCACCACTCACCCCGCACTCACCACTCACCCCGCACTCACCACTCACCCCGCACTCACCACTCACCCCGCACTCACCACTCACCCCGCACTCACCACTCACCCCGCACTCACCACTCACCCCGCACTCCCCACTCACCCCGCACTCCCCACTCACCCCGCACTCCCCACTCACCCCGCACTCACCACTCACCCCGCACTCACCACTCACCCCGCACTCACCACTCACCCCGCACTCACCACTCACCCCGCACTCACCCCGCACACACCACACACCCCGCACTCCCCACTCACCCCGCACTCCCCACTCACTCCCCACTCCCCACTCACCCCGCACTCACCACTCACCCCGCACTCCCCCACTCACCCCGCACTCACCACTCACCCCGCACTCCCCACTCACCCCGCACTCACCCCCCCACAAGACTCACCAGCGGTTCCAGGCCTTGCACACGCGCATGCAAGTGCAGAGCTCGGCGCAGGAGAGGAACGGAAAGACGTTCACCCACACCTCCTTCTGCAGCGCCCGCTCGCCCTCCTCGTCGTCCACCTCATCGACGTCCACCGCCGCCACCTCCTCCTCCTCCTTCGCCGGCCGATCGCCGCCGCCGCCGCCGCCGCTCCCCCGACTCCTCGCCAGGGTGGTGCGAGCGCCCGCGATCATCGCGGGCCTCAGCTGGTCCACCACGACCACGGCCACCATGTCCGTGAGCCTGGCGCCGTGCCTCAGGCTGCCGGCGCAGTCCGGCACGGTTCTCGTGCCGTGCCTCAGGCTGCCGGCGCCGTCCCTCAGCCTGCCGGCACCGGCAGCTACGCCGGCATCATCACCTACTCTGGTACCTACTCTGGCATCATCACCTACTCTGGCACCTAAGCTGGCATCATCACCTACTCTGGTACCTACTCTGGCATCATCAGCTACTCTGGCACCTAAGCTGGCATCGTCCCCTACGTTGGCATCGTCCCCTACGCTGACACCTTCACCTACGCTGACACCTTCACCTACGCTCGTCACCATCTCCACCAGCATGGCACCTACACTGGCACCGTCACCTACACTGACACCGTCCCCTACACTGGCACCGTCCCCTACACTGGCACCGTCCCCTACACTGACACCGTCACCTAAGCTGGCACCGTCACCTACACTGGCACCGTCCCCTACGCTCGCCACATTCTCCGTGAGCCAGGCACCGTCCCCTACGCTGGGACCGTCCCCGACGCTGGCACCATCCCCTACACTCGTCACCATCTCCACCAGCATGGCACCGACGCTGGCACCGTCCCCTACGCTCGCCACATTCTCCGTGAGCCAGGCACCGTCACCGACGCTGGCTACCATCTCCATAATCTTGGCATCGTCACCGACGCTGGCACCGTCACCTTCAAGGACCGTGACGTCGCACTCCCTCGGCTCGTCAGCATCGCCATAGCCACCACCGCCACCACCGCCACCACCGCCACCACCGGCACCACCGCCATCACCGCCATCACCGCCATCACCGCCATCATCGCCACCACCATCACCATCGCCACCACCGTTGACATCAGCGGCTCCAGCGTCCTGGCATTTGCCGGTGGTTGTTGTTGTTGATGCTTCGGTTGTTGTAGTTGTTGCCACGGTGATCAGGTGGTCGTCTGGCGGTGGTGATGGTGGCGATGAGGCGGCAGCAGCGGCTGTTGTTGTTGTTGCTGCGATGGTTGTTGTTGTTGTTGCTGCTGCAGTGGGACTGTCCACCCTGTCGATTTCAACGGCGATGTCTCCACCACCACCACCACCGCTACCACGACCACCACCTCTCATCTTCTTGGGGATGCGGTAGAGGCTGAGTGCGTCTGTACCTCGTAGCCCTGGGCTCTGCTGATGATGCTGCTGATGCCGATGCTGCTGCTGCTGCTGCCGATGCCGATGATGATGCTGCTGCTGCTGCTGCTGTTGCCTGAGGCGATTGCGAAGTCTGTCAGCCAAGATTCCTTCTCCCCTGTCCTGCAGAGACAAACGACACAGCTGACGTGCGTGTGTGCGTGCGTGTGTGCGTGTGTGTCTGTGTGCGTGTGTGCGTGTGTGTCTGTGTGCGTGTGTGCGTGTGTGCGTGCGTGTGTGTCTGTGTGCGTGTGTGCGTGTGTGTGCGTGTGTGCATGTGTGCGTGTGTGCGTGTGTGTGCGTGTGTGCATGTGTCTGTGTGCGTGTGTGCGAGCGTGTGCGTGTGCGTGTGTGTGTGCGTGTGTGTGTGTGCGTGAAAAACAACTTCCTACCTCCTCGCGGTGCCGGACGGGCAACTCTGTCGTGGACAATGCTGTGGGGGGAGGTCCAATTTTGATTGGCTCCTCCCCTCATGGCGTCTGTGTCCACCACAGGGGCTAAACGGGGGCTCTGGACGGATGCGAGGGGCTGGTAACCCCTCCACCTTCAATTAATTACCACTAAACCACGAATTAAACTGAAATGTGTAACTAATAAGCTTGTGCCGGAGGCCCCGGGGGGCCAGGCGTCTATGACGTCTCCTGGCCAAACCCCAATTGGCGGAGCCAGGAGATTGAATATCTACCCTCGGGGCTCCTCCAGAAACAAGGAAAAGCCACTTCGTGTGGCCACGTGGAATGTTCAAACGCTCACTGCGGAGAGGCTGCCACTCCTCTGTCGGGAGCTGGACTGGTACAGCCTGGATCTATGTGGCATTCAGGAGGTCCGGTGGACCGGCTCTGGCTCCTGCCACCGTGAGGGGTGGACAGGAGACTGCCAAACAACAGGGTGTGGGTCTTCTTTTGAACAAAAGAATGAAGGGGGCGTGGGAGCGTGGCGGTGAGGTGTGGGAAGCTGTAAGCCCCAGGCTACTTTGGGCTCGCCTTCCCATCGACCGGAGGCGAGGAATGGTGGTCGTGGGTACTTATGCCCCCACCGAAGATGAACATCCGTGGAGGGATGCAGGCAAAGCCGATGAGTCAGATGCATTCTATGACCTCCTGTCACAGGTGCTGGCTAAAGTGGCCCCTCGGGATAGAGTCATCATGTTGGGTGACTTCAATGCCCGAGTTGGTCATGATACTGGCACCTGGTCGGGAGTGATTGGAGGGCATGGGCCAGATCAGCTCAATAACAACAGTAGGAGGCTGCTAGATTTTTGTGCAGCCCATGGGCTTGTAATCACCAACACGCTGTTCCGGCATCGGCACATCCACACAACATCATGAATGCATGCCGGGTCCAAGCAAGAACATCTGCTGGACTACATAGTGACGGACCAGCAGATGCGAGCCCATGTCCTTGACACCAGGACCTACCGTGGAGCTGATCTGCCCTCTGACCATCGACTAGTCATCTGTAAGATGCGCCTGCCATTCTTCCACTCTGGTGGTGGGTGTACACCCAGGACCCCATTCCAACCTAAAGTGGCCTGGTCTCAGTTATCTGATGAAAGTTGCAAGCGAGAATTTCATCATCGCTTGCGGTTGGGATTGGCATCATCCCCGACTCCTCCTGATGTCGAGGGTAAATGGGCGAGGTTTAGGACTGTGACTCATGCAGCTGCAATGGCGGCTTTGGGTACGCGGTCCAGACCTCCCCAGAGACCCTGGCTGACAGAGGAGGTGTTCAGGATGGTTGAGAAAAAGCGACAGGCCCACTGTCATCGGCTACAGAATCCCACGTCAGAGAATGAGGAGGCTTACCGCAGCCTTCGCTCGGAGGTTCGGAGAGCCGTGAGGCGCTGCAAGGATGGGTGGTGGTCGCGGGTTGCTGAGGAGATGGAGTCTGCCTCAGTGGCCCGTGATCACAATTCTCTATTTAACTCCATCAAAAAAGTAACCTGCAGCGCCACACCTATTACCATCATTAGGGGAAAAAACGGTGATCCAATCTCCGACCCCCAGGAACAGGTTTGCAGATTTGCTGAGCATTTCTGTGAGGTCCTGGGGGAGGGAAAATCTCTCAGCCAGGAAAATATCGTGGCACAAAGTGAGGATGACCCTGCTGAGGCTGCAGTGCCTCAAATATTGGAAGTCACCCCCTGTGAGTGGCTGGCTGAGGTGCCATCTGTTGAGGAAGTACTGAAGGCAATCCGGAGTCTGAGACCAGGAAAGGCAGAGGGCAGAGATGATCTTCCAAGCGAAATGCTGAGGGAGGGTGGCGTTTGTGCACAGACTGCCCTATATGACATCATAACAACGGTCTGGACCACTGGACGGGTTCCGCAAGATTGGAAGGATGCCCTGGTGGTCCCCCTTTTTAAGAAGGGGGACCGCACAGACTGTAACAACTACAGGGGCATCTCACTCCTCAGTGTGCCGGGAAAGGTCCTGGCAAGGATTATTCAGCATCGCCTTGCCAGGCACGCTGAGGAGAGGCTTGCGGAGCCCCAATGCGGTTTCAGGAAAGGGCGGTCCTGCACAGATGCCATATTTTCTGTTTGTCTGCTACAGCAGAGGTGTAGGGAATTCCAACAAGACCTACATCTCTGCTTTATTGACCTGGTCAAGGCCTATGATACCATCAGTAGGCCTGGGCTCTGGGTTGTTCTTCGTGCTTTTGGAGTACCTGACCCTCTGCTCACGATCATTAAGGACCTTCATGATGGTGAGCGGGCCCGGGTAAAACTGCGTGGCCGGGAGTCAGAGCCATTCCCTGTACACCTTGGGGTGCGACAGGGATGTCCTCTGGCTCCCACATTATTTAACATCTATTTTGACCACGTAGTTCGTGAAGCCTTCAAAAGCTGTACTGGGGGAATCTCCATATGGTACAGATATAATGGGAGGCTGATCGATGCCCGGGTGCGGTCAAGGGATGGCTCCCTATTGCTCAACCACGTTATGTATGCTGATGATTTGGTAATAGCTGCTCATTCAGAGGAGGAGTTGGAGACGCTGCTGCTGAGACTGGAGCGTGCCACTAAGAGGTGGGGCCTTACCATCAGCCCCACCAAAACTAAGCACCTGCCTGGGTATTTTGTACCATCGGACACTCCACCCCCACAACTCCCAATCGGTGATGGGGCAGTTGTGGAGAGAGTGGAGAGTTTCCCATACCTGGGCAGTGTGCTTATGACCGGCTCCAGTTTAACAGCAGAGGTCTCACTCCGAATCAGTCGAGCGGCAATATCTTTTCATCGGTTGCGTAACGCTGTGTGGAAGCTACCTGGTCTGTCGCTCCGCACTAAGCTTCAGGTCTTCTCGGCCACGGTCATTCCCTCCCTTCTCTACGCTTGCGAAACGTGGACCCCCCTAATGGAACATCTTCGCCGGTTAGAAACATTTAGGCTGGCCTGCCTACGATCCATCCTGGGTTTAACCAGACTGGATTGTGTGAGCTCACAAATCCTTGAAAGATCTGGGCAAGGTCCCATCGGTGAGCTCCTCCGGCGGGGAAGGCTGCGATGGCTGGGTCATGTAGCCCGCATGCCCAGCCACCGCATGCCGAAACAGCTTTTGTTCGGCCGGATCGAGGGGGCTAAGCGGGCGCGGCACGGGCTATAGAAGAGATGGAGTGACGTGGTACAGGAGGACGTGGAGCTGAGTGGACTTGCCGATGACCGGTACCAGCGGTGTCAAGATCGGCCTCTGTGGAGGAGGCTCGTGAAGGACGCTACTGGGCAGTTGGAGGCAGTCGCCCTCCAACAACAACGGAGGGCGGAGGAGCGACGCTCAGAACAACGAGCGGAGCGCCGGGTGGCTAAAGCACAGCAGGTTTGCACAGTAGGGGGCACAGGTGGTGCATCAGCCAGTCATCTCAGTCAGTCGACCCGTGGCACCTGGGTCTGCCCCGTGACCTCCTGCCAGCGGGCGTTCGACACTTCACGTGGCCTCAGGGTGCACATGGCCTGGCACAAGCGTCGTGGTGACGTCACCGCCACTTAGTGGCGAATGGCGGTTGTTGTTGTTGTGTGTCTGTGTGTGTGCGTGTGTGTGTGGTGTGGCGAATGGCGGTTGTTGTTGTTGTGTGTGTGTATGTCTCTGTGTGTCTGTCTGTGTGTGTGTCTGTGTGTGTGCGTGTGTGTGCGTGCGTGCGTGTGTCTGTGTGTGCGTGCGTGTGTGTGGCGTGTGTGGGGGGAGGGAATGACTTTGTAGCTGTGACCCCGCCAGCTTGCCCTTGGCCCACAGCGAGAACCTCGTGTGAAGACAGCGGACTCCTGTCACTGCAGGAATCCACTCTCTTTGGGTGGTGGGGTCACGTGGTGGGGATCACGTGGGGGTCACGCGGTGGGGGTCACGTGGGGGTCACGTGGGGATCACGTGGTGGGGGTCACGTGGGGGTCACGTGGGGGGTCACGCGGTGGGGTCACGCGGGACAAAGAGACACACACAGCCCCTCCCCCCTCATCCCCCCACACAGCCCCTCCCCCCTCATCCCCTCCCCCCTAATCCCCCCCCCACACACAGCCCCTCCCCCCCACAGCCCCTCCCCCCCGTCCCACCTCCGAGCGCAGCCTCTTGACCATCAGCGTCTCCGGCCCCCCCCCGGCCCCCACCCCCCGCCCCCCGGCCCCGCCCCCCCGCCCCCCGGCCCCCACCCCCCGGCCCCGCCCCCTCTTCGGTGGGGGCTGCTCCCTGCCGGCTTGGGGGGGGCGGTGGCCCCCACCCCCGTTGTGGGGGAGGGGCTCCTCCACCAGGGAGCGCTTCTGGGGGGAGGGGCACGGGGGGAGAGGGAGGGGCACGGAGTGGGGGGAGGGGCACAGGGGGTGGAGCACGGGGGGGAAGGGCACGATGGGGGAGGGGCATGAGGGGGGAGGGGCACAGGGGAGGGAGGGGCACAGGGGGGGGAGGGGCACGGGGGGGAGGGGCATGGGGGGGGCACGGGGGAGGGAGGGGCACGGGGGGGTGATAGAGGTCACGGGGTCATAGTGCGGGTGCAAAACAGCTGTTCACTTATTCATATTCTTAGCTGTTCACTTATAAAGTAGCTAAAGTTTGATAGACAACCACTTAGAGAGAGAGGCAGCTAACGATTGACTTGATTCAGGACGTCTCTCCAGTGGTTACTCAATTTGAAACCATCCTCTCGGCTGAAGTTGTGTCTGTGTCTGTGAATCTGGATGGCCTCTGATCATAACCCGTGGGTTTGCAGAGCACCTTGGTACCGGAGAAAACAATGATCATGATAAACAATGATCATGATCACCCACAGCGTCGTCGTGATTTAATTCGTTTATTTTGTTTTATTTTATCTACGTGACTCTACCGAATAAAACCAAAGAGTGTGAATCCTTGCAGTCACAGACGCTTCAAATCTAGAATCATCACCATCATCACCATCATCACCACCACCACCATCATCATCACCACCACCATCACCATCATCACCACCATCATCACCATCACCACCACCATCATCACCACCACCACCATCACCACCACCATCACCACCACCATCACCACCACCATCACCTTCACCACCATCACCATCATCACCACCATCATCACCTTCACCACCATCATCATCACCATCACCACTATCATCACCTTCACCACCATCATCAGCATCATCATCACCATCACCACCACCATCACCACCACCATCACCTTCACCACCACCATCATCATCACCACCACCATCACCACCACCATCACCACCACCACCACCACCATCATCATCACCTTCACCACCATCATCATCATCACCTTCACCACCATCATCATCATCACCATCACCACCACCACCATCACCACCACCATCACCTTCACCACCATCATCATCATCACCACCACCACCATCACCATCACCACCACCATCATCACCTTCACCACCATCATCATCACCATCACCACCACCATCACCACCACCATCATCACCACCATCATCACCATCACCACCACCATCACCACCACCATCACCTTCACCACCATCATCATCACCATCACCACCACCACCATCACCTTCACCACCATCACCATCATCACCATCATCACCATCACCATCACCTTCACCACCATCATCACCACCATCACCACCACCATCATCAATACCATCACGACCACCATCACGACCACCATCACGACCACCACCATCACCACCATCACCACCATCACCACCACCATCACGACCACCACCATCACCACCATCACCACCACCATCATCACCATCATCCTCACCACCATCACCACCATCACCACCATCACCACCACCATCACCACCACCACCATCACCACCACCATCATCATCATCACCATCACCACCATCACCATCATCACCATCATCCTCACCATCACCACCACCACCATCATTACTACCATCACGACCACCATCACCAACATCACCACCACCATCACGACCACCATCACCACCATCACGACCACCACCATCACCACCACCATCACCACCACCATCATCACCATCATCCTCACCATCACCACCACCACCATCATTACTACCATCACGACCACCATCACCAACATCACCACCACCATCACCACCACCATCACCAGGAGCTTGTGAATATTTCCGCTCGTGATTATTAACATCACCAACATCATCACCACAAGCACTGCCGCCATCACCACAACCACCTCCACCACACAAAACTCGTCACCACCACAAACACAACAACAACCACAAATGCCACCACCACCACCACCACCCTCCTTACCTGCGGCCTCGCTGATGCTGATGCTGCTGCTGATGCTGCTGCTGATGCTGCTGCTGATGCCGTTGCTGCTTCCACTTTCACCCCCTCGGCTGTTGCCGCTGCTGCGGACGCTGCCACCGCCGCTGATGATGCTGCTGCTGATGATGATATTGCCGATGCTGCTGATGATGACAATACCGCTGATGCTGCTGCTGCTGCTGCTGCTGATGATGATGCAGACTGCCTAAGCTTCGGTACCAGCACCAGTTTCCTGCCTAACAACACCCTCACTCCCTGCTGATGATGATGCTGCTGATGATGCTGCTGCTGATGCTGCTGCTGCTGATGATGATGATGCTGGGGTTTGATCCTCGGCGACCGCAAGGATGCTGACGACGCTGATGATGATGATGAGGCCGATGACGATGACGAGGACGATGACGATGAGGACAAACGAGAGAGCGTCGATGATGATGCTGATGATGATGATGCTGGCGACGAGGAGGTGGACAGGGACGAGGAGGGAGCTTCGATCCACGGCGTGGAGACACCCCCAGGCCTGCTCCTGCCACGCAGACAGACGCACGCGGAGAGAGCCTCAGTCTGGCTCGCTGAGTCTCGGTGTGGCTCTGTGAGCCACGGTGGTTAACACTGAACCCTGTGGGAGTCTCACTGATTAACACTGAACCCTGTGGGAGTGTCAGTGATTAACACTGAACCCTGTGGGAGTCTCACTGGTTAACACTGAACCCTGTGGGAGTCTCACTGATTAACACTGAACCCTGTGGGAGTCTCAGTGATTAACACTGAACCCTGTAGGAGTGTCACTGATTAACACTGAACCCTGTGGGAGTCTCACTGATTAACACTGAACCCTGTGGGAGTCTCACTGGTTAACACTGAACCCTGTGGGAGTCTCAGTGATTAACACTGAACCCTGTGGGAGTCTCAGTGATTAACACTGAACCCTGTGGGAGTCTCACTGATTAACACTGAACCCTGTGGGAGTGTCACTGATTAACACTGAACCCTGTGGGAGTCTCACTGGTTAACACTGAACCCTGTGGGAGTCTCACTGGTTAACACTGAACCCTGTGGGAGTCTCAGTGATTAACACTGAACCCTGTGGGAGTCTCACTGGTTAACACTGAACCCTGTGGGAGTCTCAGTGATTAACACTGAACCCTGTGGGAGTCTCGGTGATTAACACTGAACCCTGTGGGAGTCTCAGTGATTAACACTGAACCCTGTGGGAGTCTCACTGATTAACACTGAACCTTGTGGGAGTCTCAGTGATTAACACTGAACCCTATGGGAGTATCGGTGATTAACACTGAACCCTATGGGAGTCTCACTGATTAACACTGAACTCTGTGGGAGTCTCAGTGATTAACACTGAACCCTGTGGGAGTGTCAGTGATTAACACTGAACCCTGTGGGAGTCTCACTGGTTAACACTGAACCTTGTGGGAGTCTCACTGATTAACACTGAACCCTGTGGGAGTCTCAGTGATTAACACTGAACCCTGTAGGAGTGTCACTGATTAACACTGAACCGTGTGGGAGTCTCACTGATTAACACTGAACCCTGTGGGAGTCTCACTGAGTAACACTGAACCCTGTGGGAGTCTCACTGATTAACACTGAACCCTGTGGGAGTCTCAGTGATTAACACTGAACCCTGTGGGAGTCTCACTGATTAACACTGAACCCTGTGGGAGTGTCAGTGATTAACACTGAACCCTGTGGGAGTCTCACTGAGTAACACTGAACCCTGTGGGAGTCTCACTGATTAACACTGAACCCTGTGGGAGTCTCAGTGATTAACACTGAACCCTGTAGGAGTGTCACTGATTAACACTGAACCGTGTGGGAGTCTCAGTGATTAACACTGAACCCTGTGGGAGTCTCAGTGATTAACACTGAACCCTGTGGGAGTCTCACTGATTAACACTGAACCCTGTGGGAGTCTCACTGATTAACACTGAACCCTGTGGGAGTCTCAGTGATTAACACTGAACCCTGTGGGAGTCTCACTGATTAACACTGAACCCTGTGGGAGTCTCACTGATTAACACTGAACCCTGTGGGAGTCTCACTGATTAACACTGAACCCTGTGGGAGTGTCAGTGATTAACACTGAACCCTGTGGGAGTCTCACTGAGTAACACTGAACCCTGTGGGAGTCTCACTGATTAACACTGAACCCTGTGGGAGTCTCAGTGATTAACACTGAACCCTGTAGGAGTGTCACTGATTAACACTGAACCGTGTGGGAGTCTCAGTGATTAACACTGAACCCTGTGGGAGTCTCAGTGATTAACACTGAACCCTGTGGGAGTCTCACTGATTAACACTGAACCCTGTGGGAGTCTCACTGATTAACACTGAACCCTGTGGGAGTCTCACTGATTAACACTGAACCCTATGGGAGTCTCACTGATTAACACTGAACCCTGTGGGAGTCTCACTGATTAACACTGAACCCTGTGGGAGTCTCAGTGATAACATTGAACCCTATGTGAGTGACTCTCAGTGATTAACACTGAACCCTGCGGGAGTCTCAGTGATTAACACTGAAGCCTATGCGGGTCTCAGTGATTAACACTGAACCCTGTGGGAGTGTCAGTGTGGCTGTGTGAGTCTCAGTGAATGGTTGAGTGAGTGAGTGACTGAGTGAGTAGGAGATTGAGCGACTAAATTAGCGAATGACTGAGTGAGCGACTGAGTGAGTGAGCGAGCAACTGATTGAGCGAGTGAGTGAGTGACTGAGTGAGCGAGCGACTGAGTGAGTGACTGAGTGAGTGACTGAGTGAGTGACTGAGTGAGTGACTGAGTGAGTGACTGAGTGAGCGAGCGACTGAGTGAGTGACTGAGTGAGCGAGCGACTGATTGAGTGACTGAGTGAGTAAGCGAGTGAGTGAGCGAGCGAGTGACTGAGTGAGTGAGTGAGCGAGTAAGCGAGTGAGTGAGTGAGCGAGCTACTGAGTGAGTGAGCGACTGAGTGAGTGAGCGACTTAGTGAGCGAGCTACTGAATGAGTGAGTGAGCGACTGAGTGAGTGAGTGAGTGAGCGAGCGAGCGACTGAGTGAGTGAGCGACTGAGTGAGTGAGCGAGCGAGCGACTGAGTGAGTGAGCGACTGAGTGAGTGAGTGAGTGAGCGAGTGAGCAAGCGAGTGAGTGAGTGAGCTACTGAGTGAGTGAGTGAGCGACTGAGTGAGTGAGCGACTGAGTGAGTGAGTAAGCGAGTGAGTGAGCGAGCTACTGAGTGAGTGAGTGAGCGACTGAGTGAGTGAGTGAGTGAGCGAGCGACTGAGTGAGTGAGCGACTGAGTGAGTGAGCGACTTAGTGAGTGAGCGAGCGAGCGACTGAGTGAGTCAGTGAGTGAGCGAGCGACTGAGTGAGTGAGCGAGTGGGCGACTGAGTGAGCGACTTAGTGAGTGAGCGAGTGAGTGAGCGACTGAGTGAGTGAGCGAGTGAGTGAGTGACTGAGTGAGTGAGCAAGCGACTGAGTAAGTGAGCAACTGAGTGAGTGAGTGAGTGACTGAGTGGGTGAGTGAGTGACTGAGTGGGTGAGTGACTGAGTGAGTGAGTGAGTGACTGAGTGAGCGACTGAGTGAGTGAGCGACTGAGTGAGTGACTGAGTGAGTGACTGAGTGAGCGAGCAACTGAGTAAGTGAGCGAGTGACTGAGTGAGTGAGCGAGTGACTGAGTGAGCGAGTGACTGAGTGAGCGAGTGAGCGAGCGAGTGACTGAGTGATCGAGTGAGTTAGCGAGTGAGTGATAATGGCGGTGGTGATGACGGCGTTGATGGTGGTGGTGATGATGGTGATGATGATGGTGATTGTGATGATGATGGTGATGTTGGTGATGATGGTGATGATGGTGATGATGGTGATGTTGGTGATGATGTTGGTGATGATGATGGTGATGATGTTGGTGATGATGGTGATGATAATGGTGATGATGATGGTGGTGATGGTGATGATGATGGTGATGTTGGTGATGATGGTGGTGATGTTGATGTTAGTGATGGTGATGTTGGTGATGTTGGTGATGATGGTGATGATGGTGATGTTGGTGATGATGATGGTGATGTTGGTGATGTTGGTGATGGTGATGTTGGTGATGATGTTGGTGATGTTCATTACCGGGAGGCCCTGTGGGGGGGGGTAGTGGGGGGGCCGGCCGGAGCAAACTTGAACCCTGCGACTCTTCTCTACACACAGCACACAGTCACACACACACAGTCACACAGTCACACACATAGTCACACACACATAGTCACACACAGTCATAGTCACACACACACAGTCACACACAGTCACACACAGAGTCACACAGTCACACACATAGTCACACACACATAGTCACACACACATAGTCACACACAGTCATAGTCACACACACACAGTCACACACACAGTCACACACAGTCACACAGTCACACACACAGTCACACAGTCACACACACAGTCACACAGTCACACACATAGTCACACACACATAGTCACACACACACAGTCACACACACATAGTCACACACACATAGTCACACACACATAGTCACACACACACAGTCACACAGTCACACACACAGTCACACAGTCACACACACAGTCACACAGTCACACACATAGTCACACACACATAGTCACACACACACAGTCACACACACACAGTCACACACACACACAGTCACACACACACAGTCACACACACACAGTCACACACACACACACAGTCACACACAGTCACACACACACAGTCACACACACACACAGTCACACACAGTCACACACAGTCACACAGTCACACACAGTCACACAGTCACAGACAGTCACATAGTCACACACACACAGTCACACAGTCACACACACACAGTCACACAGTCACACACACACAGTCACACACACACAGTCACACACAGTCACACACACACAGTCACACACAGTCACACACACACAGTCACACACAGTCACACAGTCACACACACACAGTCACACACACACAGTCACACAGTCACACACAGTCACACACAGTCACACAGTCACACACAGTCACACAGTCACACACAGTCACACACAGTCACACACACACAGTCACACACACACAGTCACACACAGTCACACAGTCACACACACAGTCACACACAGTCACACACACAGTCACACACAGTCACACACACACACAGTCACACACAGTCACACACACACACAGTCACACACAGTCACACACACACAGTCACACACAAACACACAGTCACAGTCACACACACACACACAGTCACACACACAGTCACACACACAGTCACACACACACAGTCACACACAGTCACACAGTCACACACAGTCACACACACACACAGTCACACACACACACACAGTCACACACACACACAGTCACACACACACAGTCACACACACACAGTCACACACAGTCACACACAGGCACACACAGTCACACACAGTCACACACAGGCACACACAGTCACACACAGTCACACACACAGTCACACACACAATCACACACAGTCACACACAGTCTCACACAGTCACACACACAGTCACACACACACACAGACACACACACACAGACACACACAGTCACACACACACACAGACACACACAGTCACACAGACACACACAGTCTCACACACACAGTCACACACACACACAGTCACACACACATACACACAGTCACACACACAGTCACACACACACAGTCACACACACACAGCACACACACACACAGCACACACACACAGTCCACAGACAATCACACATATCATCACCAGCACCTGCTGGTGATGATGTTAGTGATGGTGATGTTGATGATGTAAGTGATGGTGGTGTTGATGGTGATAGTGGTGATGATGTTGGTGATGGTGGTGATGGTGGTGATGGTGGTGATGTTGATGGTAGTGATGATGGTGATGATGTTGATGATGGTGGTGATGGTGGTGATGATGATGATGATGGTGGTGATGGTGATGATGATGGTGATGATGATGGTGGTGGTGATGATGGTGATGTTGATGGTAGTGATGATGATGGTGATGTTGATGGTGATGTTGATGGTAGTGATGGTGATGTTGATGATGTTGGTGATGTTGATGATGGTGATGTTGGTGATGTTGATGATGGTAGTGATGTTGATGATGATGGTGGTGATGATGGTGGTGATGATGGTGGTGGTGATGGTGGTGGTGATGTTGATGGTGATGATGATGGTGGTGGTGATATTGATGATGGTGGTGATGGTGATGTTGATGGTAGTGATGTTGATGGTAGTGGTGATGATGGTAGTGATGTTGATGGTGATGATGTTGATGATGATGGTGGTGGTGATGATGATGATGGTGATGATGGTGATGATGGTAGTGATGATAGTGATGGTGATGATGTTGATGATGATGTAATGGTGATGATGATGGTGGTGGTGATGATGATGATGGTGGTGGTGATGATGATGATGGTGATGATGGTAGTGATGATGGTGATGATGATGTTGATGATGTAATGGTGATGATGATGGTGATGATGGTAATGATGGTGATGATGATGGTGATGATGATGGTGATGATGGTGGTGATGATGGTGGTGATGTTGATGGTAGTGATGATGGTGATGATGTTGATGGTGGTGATGGTGGTGATGATGATGTTGTTGATGTTGTTGATGATGATGTTGTTGTTGATGATGTTGATGATGATGATGTTGTTGTTGATGATGTTGTTGTTGATGATGTTGTTGTTGATGATGTTGTTGTTGTTGTTGATGTTGTGGATATTGTTGTGGTTGTTGTTGTGGTGGTTGTTGTTGTTGATGTTGTTGATGTTGTTGTTGATGTTGTTGTTGATGATGTTGTGAATGTTGATGATGTTGTTGATGTTGTTGTTGTTGATGTTGTTGATGATGATGATGTTGTTGATGATGATGATGATGATGTTGTTGATGTTGTTGATGATGTTGTTGATGTTGTTGATGATGATGTTGATGTTGTTGATGTTGTTGATGATGTTGATGATGATGATGATGTTGTTGTTGTTGATGTTGTTGATGATGATGATGTTGTTGATGTTGATGTTGTTGATGATGGTGATGATGTTGATGATGATGATGTTGATGATGATGTTGTTGATGTTGATGATGATGATGTTGTTGATGTTGTTGTTGATGATGTTGTTGTTGTTGATGATGCTGTTGATGTTGTTGATGTTGTTGATGATGCTGTTGATGTTGTTGTTGATGTTGTTGATGATGATGTTGTTGTTGATGATGGTGATGATGTTGATGATGATGTTGATGTTGTTGATGTTGATGATGTTGCTGATGATGATGATGATGATGTTGATGATGATGATGTTGTTGATGATGATGTTGATGATGATGTTGTTGTTGATGATGTTGTTGATGTTGTTGTTGATGATGATGATGTTGTTGATGTTGTTGATGATGTTGATGATGTTGTTGTTGATGTTGTTGTTGTTGATGATGTTGTTGTTGATGATGTTGTTGATGATGATGATGTTGTTGATGATGTTGATGATGTTGTTGTTGATGTTGTTGTTGTTGATGATGTTGTTGATGATGATGTTGTTGATGATGATGATGTTGTTGATGTTCCCACCGTGATGGGTGCAGCTCCCTTGTTGCACTTTGGGCACTCCCAGCAGTTGGGGAGTTTCTGGTGGATCACAGCGCAGTGCACGTCCACCTGGGGTGAGCGAGGGGGTGAGCGAGGGGGTGAGTGGGTGGGTGGGTGAGTGGGTGGGTGAGTGGGTGAGTGGGTGAGCGAGGGGGTGAGCGAGGGGGTGAGTGAGGGGGTGGGTGAGTGGGTGAGTGAGTGGGTGGGTGAGTGGGTGGGTGAGTGGGTGAGTGAGTGGGTGGGTGGGTGGGTGAGTGGGTGGGTGGGTGGGTGAGTGGGTGGGTGGGTGAGTGGGTGGGTGAGTGGGTGGGTGAGTGGGTGGGTGGGTGGATCACAGCGCAGTGCACGTCCACCTGGGGTGAGCGAGGGGGTGAGGGGGTGAGCGAGGGGGTGAGCGAGGGGGTGAGTGGGTGGGTGAGTGGGTGAGTGTGTGAGCGGGTGAGTGAGTGAGTGAGCGAGTGAATGAGTGGTGAGTGAGCGAGCGAGTGAGCGAGCGAGTGAGTGGTGAGTGAGTGGTGAGTGAGTGGTGAGTGGGTGAGTGGTGAGTGAGTGAGTGGGTGAGTGGTGGCGAGTGAGTGGGTGGGTGAGTGAGTGGGTGAGTGAGTGAGTGGTGAGTGAGTGAGTGGTGAGTGAGTGGTGAGTGAGTGGTGAGCGAGTGGTGAGCGAGCACCTTGAGACAGGCTGGGTGAGCGATCTCACCACACAGGGAGCACTCCATCAGCACCTGGTTGGTGAGCGGGGGGTGAGCGGCGTTGGTGAGGAGGCTATGGCCTCCCTCACCACTCCGCCCACACACGGCACACACAGCCACGTGAGGGAGCATGGGCTGTGGGTGACAAGGGTGGACACGGGGTGACAAGGGTGGACACGGGGTGACAAGGGTGGACACGGGGAGCGACACACAGGGCGACAAGGGTGGACACGGGGTGACAAGGGTGGACACGGGGTGACAAGTCACAGGGTGACAAGGGTGGACACGGGGTGACAAGGGTGGACACAGGGTGACAAGGGTGGACACGGGGTGACAAGTCACAGAGTGACAAGGGTGGACACGGGGTGACAAGGGTGGACACAGGGTGACAAGGGTGGACACGGGGTGATAAGGGTGGACACGGGGTGAGCGTGTTGGTGAGCGTGTTGGTGAGTGTGTTGGTGAGTGTTTGTGCTGGTGAGTGTGTTGGTGTGTGTGTTGGTGAGTGTGTTGGTGAGTGAGCGTGTTGGTGAGTGTGTTGGTGAGTGTGTTGGTGAGCGTGTTGGTGTGTGTGTTGGTGAGTGTGTTGGTGAGCGTGTTGGTGTGTGTGTTGGTGAGCGTGTTGGTGAGTGTGTTGGTGAGTGTGTTGGTGAGCGTGTTGGTGTGTGTGTTGGTGAGTGTGTTGGTGAGCGTGTTGGTGTGTGTGTTGGTGAGCGTGTTGGTGAGTGTGTTGGTGAGTGTGTTGGTGAGTGTGTTGGTGAGTGTGTTGGTGAGTGTGTTGGTGAGTGTGTTGGTGAGCGTGTTGGTGTGTGTTGGTGAGTGTGTTGGTGAGTGTGTTGGTGAGTGTGTTGGTGAGTGTGTTGGTGAGTGTGCTGGTGAGTGTGTTGGTGAGTGTGTTGGTGAGCGTGTTGGTGTGTGTGTTGGTGAGCGTGTTGGTGAGTGTGTTGGTGAGTGTGTTGGTGAGTGTGTTGGTGAGTGTGTTGGTGAGTGTGCTGGTGAGTGTGTTGGTGAGTGTGTTGGTGAGTGTGCTGGTGAGCGTGTTGGTGAGTGAGTGTGTTGGTGAGCGTGTTGATGAGTGTGTTGGTGAGTGTGCTGGTGAGCGTGTTGGTGAGTGAGTGTGTTGGTGAGCTTGTTGGTGAGTGTGTTGGTGAGTGTGTTGGTGAGCGTGTTGGTGAGTGTGTTGGTGAGTGTGTTGGTGAGTGTGTGTGTTGGTGAGTGTGTTGGTGAGTGTGTTGGTGAGTGAGTGTGTTGGTGAGTGAGTGAGCGTGTTGGTGAGTGTGTTGGTGAGTGTGTTGGTGAGTGTGTTGGTGAGTGTGTTGGTGTGTTGGTGAGTGTGTTGGTGAGTGTGTTGGTGAGTGAGTGTGTTGGTGAGTGAGTGTGTTGGTGAGTGTGTTGGTGTGTTGGTGAGTGTGTTGGTGAGTGTGTTGGTGAGTGAGTGTGTTGGTGAGTGAGTGTGTTGGTGAGTGTGTTGGTGAGTGTGTTAGTGAGTGTGTTGGTGAGTGTGTTGGTGAGTGTGTTGGTGAGTGTGCTGGTGAGTGTGTTGGTGAGTGTGTTGGTGTGTTGGTGAGTGTGTTGGTGAGTGTGTTGGTGAGTGTGTTGGTGAGTGTGTTGGTGAGTGTGTTGGTGTGCGTGTTGGTGAGCGTGTTGGTGAGCGTGTTGGTGAGTGTGCTGGTGAGCGTGTTGGTGAGTGTGTTGGTGACCGTGTTGGTGAGTGAGTGTGTTGGTGAGCATGTTGGTGAGTGTGTTGGTGAGTGTGTTGGTGAGTGAGTGAGTGTGTTGGTGAGTGAGTGAGTGTGTTGGTGAGTGTGTTGGTGAGTGTGTTGGTGAGCGTGCTGGTGAGTGTGTTGGTGAGTGTGTTGGTGAGACACCCACACAGGTGCACTGTCTCCGCAGGCAGCTCTGCTTCATGCGGTGAGTGTGTTGGTGAGCGTGTTGGTGAGTGAGTGAGTGTGTTGGTGAGTGAGTGAGTGTGTTGGTGAGTGTGTTGGTGAGTGAGTGTGTTGGTGAGTGTGTTGGTGAGTGAGTGAGTGTGTTGGTGAGTGTGCGTGTTGGTGAGTGAGTGTGTTGGTGAGTGTGCTGGTGAGTGAGTGTGTTGGTGAGTGAGTGAGTGTGTTGGTGAGTGAGTGAGTGTGTTGGTGAGTGAGTTGGTGAGTGTGTTGGTGAGTGTGTTGGTGAGCGTGTTGGTGAGCGTGTTGGTGAGTGTGTTGGTGAGTGTGTTGGTGAGTGAGTGTGTTGGTGAGTGTGTTGGTGAGTGAGTGAGTGTGTTGGTGAGTGTGCGTGTTGGTGAGTGAGTGTGTTGGTGAGTGTGCTGGTGAGTGAGTGTGTTGGTGAGTGAGTGAGTGTGTTGGTGAGTGAGTGAGTGTGTTGGTGAGTGAGTGAGTGAGTGTGTTGGTGAGTGAGTGTGTTGGTGAGCGTGTTGGTGAGTGTGTTAGTGAGTGTGTTGGTGAGTGTGTTGGTGAGTGTGTTGGTGAGTGTGCTGGTGAGTGTGTTGGTGAGTGTGTTGGTGTGTTGGTGAGTGTGTTGGTGAGTGTGTTGGTGAGTGTGTTGGTGAGTGTGTTGGTGTGTTGGTGAGTGTGTTGGTGTGCGTGTTGGTGAGCGTGTTGATGAGCGTGTTGGTGAGTGTGCTGGTGAGCGTGTTGGTGAGTGTGTTGGTGAGTGTGTTGGTGAGTGAGTGAGTGTGTTGGTGAGTGAGTGAGTGTGTTGGTGAGCATGTTGGTGAGTGTGTTGGTGAGTGTGTTGGTGAGTGAGTGAGTGTGTTGGTGAGTGAGTGAGTGTGTTGGTGAGTGTGTTGGTGAGTGTGTTGGTGAGCGTGCTGGTGAGTGTGTTGGTGAGTGTGTTGGTGAGTGTGTTGGTGAGACACCCACACAGGTGCACTGTCTCTGCAGGCAGCTCTGCTTCATGCGGTGAGTGTGTTGGTGAGCGTGTTGGTGAGTGAGTGAGTGTGTTGGTGAGTGAGTGAGTGTGTTGGTGAGTGTGTTGGTGAGTGAGTGTGTTGGTGAGTGTGTTGGTGAGTGAGTGAGTGTGTTGGTGAGTGTGCGTGTTGGTGAGTGAGTGTGTTGGTGAGTGTGCTGGTGAGTGAGTGTGTTGGTGAGTGAGTGTGTTGGTGAGTGAGTGAGTGTGTTGGTGAGTGAGTGAGTGTGTTGGTGAGTGTGTTGGTGAGTGTGCTGGTGAGCGTGTTGGTGAGCGTGTTGGTGAGTGTGTTGGTGAGTGTGTTGGTGAGTGAGTGTATTGGTGAGTGTGTTGGTGAGTGAGTGAGTGTGTTGGTGAGTGTGCGTGTTGGTGAGTGAGTGTGTTGGTGAGTGTGCTGGTGAGTGAGTGTGTTGGTGAGTGAGTGAGTGTGTTGGTGAGTGAGTGAGTGTGTTGGTGAGTGAGTGTGTTGGTGAGTGTGTTGGTGAGTGTGTGTGTTGGTGAGTGAGTGTGCTGGTGAGTGTGTTGGTGAGCGTGTTGGTGAGTGTGCTGGTGAGTGTGTTGGTGAGTGTGTTGGTGAGTGTGTTGGTGAGACACCCACACAGGTGCACTGTCTCCGCAGGCAGCTCTGCTTCATGCGGTGAGTGTGTTGGTGAGTGTGTTGGTGAGTGTGTTGGTGAGTGAGTGTGTTGGTGAGCGTGTTGGTGAGTGAGTGAGTGTGTTGGTGAGTGAGTGAGTGTGTTGGTGAGTGAGTGAGTGTGTTGGTGAGTGTGTTGGTGAGTGTGTTGGTGAGTGTGTGTGTTGGTGTGTGTGTTGGTGTGTGTGTTGGTGAGTGTGTTGGTGAGTGAGTGTGTTGGTGAGCGTGTTGGTGAGCGTGTTGGTGAGTGAGTTGGTGAGTGTGTTGGTGAGTGTGTTGGTGAGTGAGTGTGTTGGTGAGTGAGTGAGTTGGTGAGTGAGTGAGTGTGTTGGTGTGCTGGTGAGTGTGTTGGTGAGCGTGTTGGTGAGTGTGTTGGTGAGTGTGTTGATGAGCGTGTTGGTGAGTGTGTTGGTGAGTGTGTTGGTGAGTGTGTTGGTGAGTGTGTTGGTGAGTGTGTTGGTGAGTGTGTTGGTGAGTGTGCTGGTGAGCGTGTTGGTGAGTGTGTGTGTTGGTGAGTGTGTTGGTGAGCGTGTTGGTGAGTGTGTTGGTGAGTGTGTTGGTGAGTGTGTTGGTGAGTGTGCTGGTGAGCGTGTTGGTGAGTGTGTGTGTTGGTGAGTGTGTTGGTGAGTGTGTTGGTGAGTGTGTTGGTGAGTGTGTGTGTTGGTGAGTGTGTTGGTGAGTGTGTTGGTGAGTGTGTTGGTGAGTGAGTGTGTTGGTGAGTGTGTTGGTGAGCGTGTTGGTGAGTGTGTTGGTGAGTGTGTTGGTGAGTGTGTTGGTGAGTGTGTTGGTGAGTGTGTTGGTGAGTGTGTTGGTGAGTGTGTTGGTGAGTGTGCTGGTGAGCGTGTTGGTGAGTGTGTGTGTTGGTGAGTGTGTTGGTGAGCGTGTTGGTGAGTGTGTTGGTGAGTGTGTTGGTGAGTGTGTTGGTGAGTGTGTTGGTGAGTGTGTTGGTGAGTGTGCTGGTGAGCGTGTTGGTGAGTGTGTGTGTTGGTGAGTGTGTTGGTGAGTGTGTTGGTGAGTGTGTTGGTGAGTGTGTGTGTTGGTGAGTGTGTTGGTGAGTGTGTTGGTGAGTGTGTTGGTGAGTGAGTGTGTTGGTGAGTGTGTTGGTGTGTTGGTGAGCGTGCTGGTGAGTGTGTTGGTGAGTGAGTGTGTTGGTGAGCGTGTTGGTGAGTGTGTTGGTGAGACACCCACACAGGTGCACTGTCTCCGCAGGCAGCTCTGCTTCATGCGGTGAGTGTGTTGGTGAGCGTGTTGGTGAGTGAGTGAGTGTGTTGGTGAGTGTGTTGGTGTGTTGGTGAGTGTGTTGGTGAGTGTGTTGGTGAGTGTTTGTGTTGGTGAGTGTGTGTGCTGGTGAGTGTGTTGGTGAGTGTGTTGGTGAGTGTGTTGGTGAGTGTGTTGGTGAGTGTGTTGGTGAGTGTGTTGGTGAGTGTGTTGGTGAGTGTGTTGGTGAGTGTGTGTGTTGGTGTGTTGGTGAGCGTGTTGGTGAGTGTGTTGGTGAGCGTGTTGGTGAGTGAGTTGGTGAGTGTGTTGGTGAGTGTGTTGGTGAGTGTGTTGGTGAGTGTGTTGGTGAGTGTGTTGGTGAGTGTGTTGGTGAGTGTGTTGGTGAGTGTGTGTGTTGGTGAGTGTGTTGGTGAGTGTGTTGGTGAGTGTGTTGGTGAGTGTGTTGGTGAGTGTGTTGGTGAGTGAGTGTGTTGGTGAGTGTGTTGGTGAGTGTGTTGGTGAGTGTGCTGGTGAGTGTGTTGGTGAGCGTGTTGGTGAGTGTGTTGGTGAGTGTGTTGGTGAGTGTGTTGGTGAGTGTGTTGGTGAGTGTGTTGGTGAGTGTGTTGGTGAGTGTGTTGGTGAGTGAGTGAGTGTGTTGGTGAGTGAGTGTGTTGGTGAGTGAGTGAGTGTGTTGGTGAGCGTGTTGGTGAGTGTGTTGGTGAGACACCCACACAGGTGCACTGTCTCCGCAGGCAGCTCTGCTTCATGCGGTGAGTGTGTTGGTGAGCGTGTTGGTGAGTGAGTGTGTTGGTGAGTGTGTTGGTGAGTGTGTTGGTGAGTGTGTGTGTTGGTGAGTGTGTTGGTGAGTGTGTTGGTGAGTGTGTTGGTGAGTGTGTTGGTGAGTGTTTGTGTTGGTGTGTTGGTGAGTGTGTGTGCTGGTGAGTGTGTTGGTGAGCGTGTTGGTGAGTGAGTGTGTTGGTGAGTGTGTTGGTGAGTGTGTTGGTGAGTGTGTTGGTGAGTGTGTTGGTGAGTGTGTGTGTTGGTGTGTTGGTGAGCGTGTTGGTGAGTGTGTTGGTGAGCGTGTTGGTGAGTGAGTTGGTGAGTGTGTTGGTGAGTGTGTTGGTGAGTGTGTTGGTGAGTGTGTTGGTGAGTGTGTTGGTGAGTGTGTTGGTGAGTGTGTGTGTTGGTGAGTGTGTTGGTGAGTGTGTTGGTGAGTGTGTTGGTGAGTGAGTGTGTTGGTGAGTGTGTTGGTGAGTGTGTTGGTGAGTGTGCTGGTGAGTGTGTTGGTGAGTGTGTTGGTGAGTGTGTTGGTGAGTGTGTTGGTGAGTGTGTTGGTGAGTGTGTTGGTGAGTGTGTTGGTGAGTGTGTTGGTGAGTGAGTGAGTGTGTTGGTGAGTGAGTGAGTGTGTTGGTGAGTGAGTGAGTGTGTTGGTGAGTGAGTGTGTTGGTGAGTGTGTTGGTGAGACACCCACACAGGTGCACTGTCTCCGCAGGCAGCTCTGCTTCATGCGGTGAGTGTGTTGGTGAGCGTGTTGGTGAGTGAGTGAGTGTGTTGGTGAGTGTGTTGGTGTGTTGGTGAGTGTGTTGGTGAGTGTGTGTGTTGGTGAGTGTGTGTGCTGGTGAGTGTGTTGGTGAGCGTGTTGGTGAGTGAGTGTGTTGGTGAGTGTGTTGGTGAGTGTGTTGGTGAGTGTGTTGGTGAGTGTGTTGGTGAGTGTGTTGGTGAGTGTGTTGGTGAGTGTGTTGGTGAGTGTGTGTGTTGGTGTGTTGGTGAGCGTGTTGGTGAGTGTGTTGGTGAGCGTGTTGGTGAGTGAGTTGGTGAGTGTGTTGGTGAGTGTGTTGGTGAGTGTGTTGGTGAGTGAGTGAGTGTGTTGGTGAGTGTGTTGGTGAGTGTGTTGGTGAGTGTGTTGGTGAGTGTGTTGGTGAGTGTGTGTGTTGGTGAGTGTGTTGGTGAGTGAGTGAGTGTGTTGGTGAGACACCCACACAGGTGCACTGTCTCCGCAGGCAGCTCTGCTTCATGCGGTGAGTGTGTTGGTGAGTGTGTTGGTGAGTGAGTGTGTTGGTGAGTGTGTTGGTGAGTGTGTTGGTGAGTGTTTGTGTTGGTGTGTTGGTGAGTGTGCTGGTGAGTGTGTTGGTGAGTGTGTTGGTGAGTGAGTTGGTGAGTGTGTTGGTGAGTGAGTGAGTGTGTTGGTGAGTGAGTGAGTGTGTTGGTGAGTGTGTTGGTGTGTTGGTGAGTGTGTTGGTGAGTGTGTTGGTGAGTGTTGGTGAGTGTGTTGGTGAGTGTGTTGGTGAGTGAGTGAGTGTGTTGGTGTGTTGGTGAGTGTGTTGGTGAGTGTGTTGGTGAGTGTGTTGGTGAGTGAGTGTGTTGGTGAGTGTGTTGGTGAGTGTGTTGGTGAGTGTGTTGGTGAGTGTGTTGATGAGTGTGTTGGTGAGTGTGCTGGTGAGTGTGTTGGTGAGTGTGTTGGTGAGTGTGTTGGTGAGACACTCACACAGGTGCACTGTCTCCGCAGGCAGCTCTGCTTCATGCGGTGAGTGTGTTGGTGAGTGTGTTGGTGAGTGAGTGTGTTGGTGAGTGTGTTGGTGAGTGTGTTGGTGAGTGTTTGTGTTGGTGTGTTGGTGAGTGTGTTGGTGAGTGTGTTGGTGAGTGAGTTGGTGAGTGTGTTGGTGAGTGAGTGAGTGTGTTGGTGAGTGAGTGAGTGTGTTGGTGAGTGTGTTGGTGTGTTGGTGAGTGTGTTGGTGAGTGTGTTGGTGAGTGTGTTGGTGAGTGTGTTGGTGAGTGTGTTGGTGAGTGAGTGAGTGTGTTGGTGTGTTGGTGAGTGTGTTGGTGAGTGTGTTGGTGAGTGTGTTGGTGAGTGAGTGTGTTGGCGAGTGTGTTGGTGAGTGTGTTGGTGAGTGTGTTGGTGAGTGTGTTGATGAGTGTGTTGGTGAGTGTGCTGGTGAGTGTGTTGGTGAGTGTGTTGGTGAGTGAGTGTGTTGGTGAGACACTCACACAGGTGCACTGTCTCCGCAGGCAGCTCTGCTTCATGCGGTGAGTGTGTTGGTGAGTGTGTTGGTGAGTGAGTGTGTTGGTGAGTGTGTTGGTGAGCGTGTTGGTGAGTGTTTTGGTGAGTGAGTGTGTTGGTGAGTGTGTTGGTGAGTGAGTGTGTGTGTTGGTGAGTGAGTTGGTGAGCGTGTTGGTGAGCGTGTTGGTGAGTGTGTTGGTGAGTGAGTGTGTTGGTGAGTGTGTTGGTGAGTGTGCTGGTGAGTGTGTTGGTGAGTGTGTTGGTGAGACACTCACACAGGTGCACTGTCTCCGCAGGCAGCTCTGCTTCATGCGGTGAGTGTGTTGGTGAGTGAGTGAGTGTGTTGGTGAGTGTGTTGGTGAGTGTGTTGGTGAGTGTGTTGGTGAGTGTGTGTGTTGGTGAGTGAGTGTGTTGGTGAGTGTGTTGGTGAGTGTGTTGGTGAGTGAGTGAGTGTGTTGGTGTGTTGGTGAGTGTGTTGGTGAGCGTGCTGGTGAGTGTGTTGGTGAGTGTGTTGGTGAGTGTGTTGGTGAGTGAGTGAGTGTGTTGGTGAGTGTGTTGGTGAGTGTGTTGGTGTGTTGGTGAGTGTGTTGGTGAGTGTGTTGATGAGTGTGTTGGTGAGTGTGTTGGTGAGTGAGTGTGTTGGTGAGACACCCACACAGGTGCACTGTCTCCGCAGGCAGCTCTGCTTCATGCGGTGAGTGTGTTGGTGAGTGTGTTGGTGAGTGTGTTGGTGAGTGTGTTGGTGAGTGTGTTGGTGAGTGTGTTGGTGAGTGAGTGAGTGTGTTGGTGAGTGTGTTGGTGAGTGTGTTGGTGAGTGTGTTGGTGAGTGAGTGAGTGTGTTGGTGAGTGTGTTGGTGAGTGTGTTGGTGAGTGTGTTGGTGAGTGAGTGAGTGTGTTGGTGAGTGAGTGAGTGTGTTGGTGAGTGTGTTGGTGAGTGTGTTGGTGAGTGAGTGTGTTGGTGAGTGTGTTGGTGAGTGAGTGTGTTGGTGAGCGTGTTGGTGAGTGTGTTGGTGAGTGTGTTGGTGAGACACCCACACAGGTGCACTGTCTCCGCAGGCAGCTCTGCTTCATGCGGTGAGTGTGTTGGTGAGTGTGTTGGTGAGTGTGTTGGTGAGTGTGTTGGTGAGTGTGTTGGTGAGTGTGTTGGTGAGTGAGTGAGTGTGTTGGTGAGTGTGTTGGTGAGTGTGTTGGTGAGTGTGTTGGTGAGTGAGTGAGTGTGTTGGTGAGTGTGTTGGTGAGTGTGTTGGTGAGTGTGTTGGTGAGTGAGTGAGTGTGTTGGTGAGTGAGTGAGTGTGTTGGTGAGTGTGTTGGTGAGTGTGTTGGTGAGTGAGTGTGTTGGTGAGTGAGTGTGTTGGTGAGTGTGTTGGTGAGTGTGTTGGTGAGTGAGTGAGTGTGTTGGTGAGTGTGTTGGTGAGTGTGTTGGTGAGTGTGTTGGTGAGTGAGTGAGTGTGTTGGTGAGTGTGTTGGTGAGTGTGTTGGTGAGTGTGTTGGTGAGTGAGTGAGTGTGTTGGTGAGTGAGTGAGTGTGTTGGTGAGTGTGTTGGTGAGTGTGTTGGTGAGTGAGTGTGTTGGTGAGTGAGTGTGTTGGTGAGTGTGTTGGTGAGTGTGTTGGTGAGTGAGTGAGTGTGTTGGTGAGTGTGTTGGTGAGTGTGTTGGTGAGTGTGTTGGTGAGTGAGTGAGTGTGTTGGTGAGTGTGTTGGTGAGTGTGTTGGTGAGTGTGTTGGTGAGTGAGTGAGTGTGTTGGTGAGTGAGTGAGTGTGTTGGTGAGTGTGTTGGTGAGTGAGTGAGTGTGTTGGTGAGTGTGTTGGTGAGTGAGTGAGTGTGTTGGTGAGTGAGTGTGTTGGTGAGACACCCACACAGGTGCACTGTCTCCGCAGGCAGCTCTGCTTCATGCGTCCCGGCCCACCGAACTTGCGCATGTCCTGGCAGAAGGGGCAGCGGCCACACTCGGAGCTGCGGCAGGCGGAGCAGCGCTTACAGCGAGTGCGTCGGTGCCTTGCCGAGGAGGAGGAGCAGCCACCACCGGCACCGGCACCACCGGCACCACCGGCACCACCACCGGCACCACCACCGGCACCACCACCGGTACCACCGCCACCACCGCCACCACCACCGGTACCACCACCGCCACCACTGCCTCGTCTCCCCGACGGCACGGGGGAGCTGCCGGGCGGTGGCGGTGTTTGACGGTGAGAGGTTTTGGAGCGTAGCGACATACACGCCTGTAGACACACACACAGTCAGTCACACACACACAGTCAGTCACACACAGTCAATCACACAGTCAGTCACACACACACAGTCACACAGAGACACAGTCACAGACACACAGTCACACACACAGTCAGTCACACACAGTCACACAGTCAGTCACACACACAGTCAGTCACACACACAGTCAGTCACACACACAGTCAGTCACACACACAGTCACACACACAGTCAGTCACACACACAGTCAGTCACACACACACAGTCACACACACACAGTCACACACACACAGTCACACACACAGTCACACACAGCACACACAGTCACACACACACAGTCACACAGTCAGTCACACACACACAGTCACACACACAGACACACACAGTCACACACAGTCACACACAGTCACACAGAGACACACACACAGACACACACACAGACACACACAGACACACACACACAGTCAGTCACACACAGACACACACACAGACACACACAAAGACACACAGAGACACACACACAGACAGTCACACACACACAGTCACACACAGACACACACACAGTCACACACAGACACACACACAGTCACACAGACACACACAGTCACACACACAGTCACACACACAGTCTCACACACACAGTCACACACAGTCACACACACAGTCACACACACACAGACACACAGTCACACACACAGTCACACAGTCACACACACAGACACACACACAGACACACACACAGTCACACATAGACACACACACACAGTCACACAGACACACACACAGTCACACACACAGTCACACACACAGTCACACACACACAGTCACACACACAGTCACACAGTCACACACACAGACACACACACAGACACACACACAGTCACACACACACACACAGAGAGACGGAGAGACGGGTGGTTAGCGGGTGGGTGGATTGGTGGGTGCGTGGGTAGGTAGGTAGGGTGGGTGGGTGGGTAGGGTGAACAGGTGAGTGTGTGAGTGGGTAGGGTGAGTGGTGAGTGAGTGAGTGAGCGGGTGAGTGGGTGAGTGAGTGAGTGTGTGAGCGGGTAGGGTGAGTGGTGAGTGAGTGAGTGAGCGGGTGAGTGGGTGAGTGAGTGAGTGTGTGAGCGGGTAGGGTGAGTGGTGAGTGAGTGAGTGAGCGGGTGAGTGGGTGAGTGAGTGAGTGTGTGAGCGGGTAGGGTGATTGGTGAGTGGGTGAGTGAGCGGGTGAGTGGGTGAGTGAGTGAGTGGGTGGATGGATGGGTGAGTGTGTGAGTGAGTGGGTGAGTGAGTGGTGAGTGAGTGGTGAGTGAGTGAGTGGTGAGTGAGTGGTGAGTGAGTGGTGAGTGGTGAGTAGGTGAGTGAGTGGTGAGTAAGTGGTGAGTGGTGAGTGTGGGTGCTGTAGTCTCACCAGGGGTAGTGGTGTAAGTGGTGAGTAAGTGGTGAGTGAGTGGTGAGTGTAAGTGGTGAGTAATTGGTGAGTGAGTAGTGAGTGAGTGGTGAGTGAGTGGTGAGTGTGAGTGAGTGGTGAGTGAGTGGTGAGTGTAGGTGGTGAGTCGTGAGTGTGAGTGGTGAGTGTGAGTGGTGAGTGTAAGTGGTGAGTGGTGAGTGTGAGTGGTGAGTGTGGGTGGTGAGTAAGTGGTGAGTGTGTAGGTGAGTGTGGGTGGTGAGTAAGTGATGAGTGTGAGTGGTGAGTGAGTGAGTGGTGAGTGTGAGTAGGTGTGTGTGAGTGGTGAGTGTGAGTGGTGAGTGAGTGTAAGTGGTGAGTGTGAGTGGTGAGTAAGTGGTGAGTGTGTAGGTGAGTGTGGGTGGTGAGTAAGTGGTGAGTGTGAGTGGTGAGTGAGTGAGTGAGTGGTGAGTGTGAGTAGGTGTGTGTGAGTGGTGAGTGTGAGTGGTGAGTGAGTGTAAGTGGTGAGTGTGAGTGGTGAGTAAGTGGTGAGTGGTGAGTGTGAGTGTAAGTGGTGAGTAAGTGGTGAGTGTGGGTGCTGTAGTCTCACCAGGGGTAGTGGTGAGTAGGTGAGTGAGTGGTGAGTGAGTGAGTGGTGAGTAAGTGGTGAGTGTGGGTGCTGTAGACTCACCAGGGGTAGCGGTGAGTGTGAGTGGTGAGTGAGTGAGTGGTGAGTGTAAGTGGTGAGTGTGAGTGTAAGTGGTAAGTGGTGAGTGGTGAGTGTGGGTGCTGTAGACTCACCAGGGGTAGTGGTGAGTGTGAGTGGTGAGTGTAAGTGGTGAGTAAGTGGTGAGTGAGTGGTGAGTGTAAGTGGTGAGTGAGTGAGTGAGTGGTGAGTGAGTGAGTGGTGAGTAAGTGGTGAGTAAGTGGTGAGTAAGTGGTGAGTGAGTGAGTGAGAGTGGTGAGTGTGGGTGGTGAGTGTGAGTGGTGAGTGGTGAGTAGGTGAGTGAGTGGTGAGTGAGTGAGTGGTGAGTAAGTGGTGAGTGAGTGAGTGGTGAGTGAGTGAGTGGTGAGTAAGTGGTGAGTAAGTGGTGAGTAAGTGGTGAGTAAGTGGTGAGTGGTGAGTAAGTGGTGAGTGAGTGAGTGAGAGTGGTGAGTGTGGGTGGTGATTGTGAGTGGTGAGTGGTGAGTAGGTGAGTGAGTGGTGAGTGAGTGAGTGGTGAGTAAGTGGTGAGTGAGTGAGTGAGTGGTGAGTGAGTGAGTGGTGAGTAAGTGGTGAGTAAGTGGTGAGTGTGAGTGGTGAGTGTGAGTGGTGAGTGTGAGTGGTGTAGACTCACCAGGGGTAGTGGTGAGTGGTGAGTGAGTGAGTGGTGAGTGAGTGAGTGGTGAGTGAGTGGTGAGTGAGTGAGTGGTGAGTAAGTGGTGAGTGTGAGTGAGTGGTGAGTGAGTGAGTGGTGAGTGAGTGGTGAGTGTGGGTGGTGTAGACTCACCAGGGGTAGTGGTGAGTGGTGAGTGAGTGAGTGGTGAGTGAGTGAGTGGTGAGTGAGTGAGTGGTGAGTAAGTGGTGAGTGAGTGAGTGAGTGGTGAGTGAGTGAGTGGTGAGTGAGTGGTGAGTGTGGGTGCTGTAGACTCACCAGGGGTAGTGGTGAGTGGTGGGTGGTGAGTGTGAGTGTAAGTGGTGAGTAAGTGGTGAGTAAGTGGTGAGTGAGTGAGTGGTGAGTGAGTGGTGAGTGAGTGAGTGAGTGGTGAGTAAGTGGTGAGTGTGAGTGGTGTAGACTCACCAGGGGTAGTGGTGTGAGTGGTGAGTGAGTGGTGAGTGAGTGGTGAGTGAGTGGTGAGTGAGTGAGTGGTGAGTGAGTGGTGAGTGAGTGAGTGGTGAGTAAGTGGTGAGTAAGTGGTGAGTGGTGTAGACTCACCAGGGGTAGTGGTGGCCAGGCCACGATAGGAACTCCGGACAGAGCCAGCTGAGCGTCGTCCGTCTCATGCTCCTCCAGCACCGCCTACACCACCACAACAACCACAACCACAACAACAACCACAACAACAACATCAACAACCACAACAACAACAACCACAACATCAACAACCACAACAACCACCACAACAACAACAACAACATCAACAACAACCACAACAACAACCATAACAACAACAACATCAACAACAACCATAACAACAACATCAACAACAACCACCACCACAACAACATCAACAACCACAACAACAACCACAACAACACCATCATCAACAACAACAACCACAACCACAACAACAACCACCACCACAACAACCACAACAACAACAACATCAACAACCACCACAACAACAACCACCACAACAACAACCACAACAACAACAACCACAACAACAGCATCAACAACCACCACAACAACAACCACCACAGCAACAACAACCACAACAACAACATCAACAACCACCACAACAACAACCACGTCAACAACAACAACCACAACAACATCAACAACAACCACAACAACAACCACGTCAACAACAACCACGTCAACAACAACCACAACAACAACCACAACAACAACCACGTCAACAACATCAACAACAACATCAACCACAACAACAACCACAACAACAACCACAACAACAACCACAACAACAAGAACCACCACAACAACAACCACAACAACAAGAACCACCACAACAACAACCACAACAACAACCACCACAACATCAACAACAACCACCACAACAACCACAACAACAAGAACCACCACAACAACAACAACAACATCAACAACCACCACCACCACAACAACATCAACAACAACCACAACAACAACCACGTCAACAACAACAACCACCACCACAACAACAACATCAACAACAACCACCACAACAACAACCACAACAACAACAACCACCACCACCACAACAACAACATCATCAACAACAACCACGTCAACAACCATCACAACAACAACCACGTCAACAAGCACCACCACAACAACAACCACCACAACAACCACGTCAACAACAACAACCACCACATCAATAACAACAACCACAACCACACCACCACCACAACAACAACATCATCAACAACCACATCAACAACCACCACCACATCTACAACAACAATCACAATCACCACAACTACCATTACCAGCCAACGCACGCACCCACCCTCCCACTCACCCGCCCACTCACCCACCCGCCCGCCCACTCGTCCGCCCACTCACCCACCCACCCACCACCCACCCACCCACTCACCCACACAACCACACCTCCACCCACCCACCCACCCACTCACCCACCAACCCGCCCTTCCACCCGCCCACCAACCCTACCACCCTTCTACCGACCCGCCCACTCACCCACCCACTCACCCGTCCGCCCACTCACCCACCCACTCACCCACCCACCCGCCCACTCACCCACCCACCCATTTGCCCACCCACTCACCCACCCACCCACTCACCCACCAACCCGCCCTTCCACCCACCCACCCACCAACCCACCAACCCACCAACCCACCCACCCGCCCACCCACCCACCCTTCCACCCACCCACCCTTCCACCCACCCACCCACCAACCCACCTACCCACCCACCCACCCTTCCACCCACCCACCTACCCACCCACCCACTCCCCCCCCGCCCACTCACCCACCCACCGACCCGCCCACTCACCCACCCACCTATTCGCCCACCCACTCACCCACCCACCCACTCACCCACCAACCCGCCCTTCCACCCACCCACCCACCCACCCTTCCACCCACTCCCCCCCGCCCACCCACTCCCCCCCGCCCACTCACCCACCCACCCACCCGCCCACCCACCCTTCCACCCACCCACCCACCCACCCACTCCCCCCCGCCCACTCACCCACCCACCCGCCCACTCACCCACCCACCCGCCCACTCACCCACCCACCCACCCATTCGCCCACCCACTCACCCACCCACCCACTCACCCACCAACCCGCCCTTCCACCCACCCACCCACCCACCCTTCCACCCACCCACCCACCCACTCCCCCCCGCCCACCCACCCACCCACCCACTCACCCACCCACCCATTCGCCCACCCACTCACCCACCCACCCACTCACCCACCAACCCGCCCTTCCACCCACCCGCCCTTCCACCCACCCACCCACCCTTCCACCCACCCACCCACCCACCCACCCACTCCCCCCCGCCCACCTGCACGTGCTCCAGCAGTGCGTCTGCGTCCTGGATGCCTCCCGGCACACCGCGCTTGCTCTGAGGCAGTGCCTGCAGGCGCCGCAGCAGCGCCCACAGCCCCGCCAGCTCCAGGCCGGTGAGGAGCAGCGGTGGTGGTGGTGAGGAGCGTGGTGGCAGTGGTGGTGAGGAGCGTGGCAGCAGTGGTGAGGAGCGTGGCGCCAACTTACTCACCACCCTCACCACCCTCGCCACGGCTGTCGCCGCGGGCGGTGGGGTGACGTCATCGTCGTCATCGTCATCGTCGTCATCGTCATCGTCGTCATCGTCGTCATCGTCGTCGTCATCGTCGTCAACATCGTCGTCATCGCTAGACGAGGTTGCCGATTCTGTTGACGACGTTGACGATGATGATGACGACGATGACGACGATGACGACGACGTTTTGGGTGACGGAGGCAAGGCTGACAGAGGCTGCGGAGAGAGAGAGAGAGACACCGTCATCATCTTCGTCGTTGTGAACATCATCATCAACATCGTCAACATCGTCATCGTCAACATCATCGTCAACATCGTCGTCATCGTCAACATCGTCATCGTCAACATCGTCATCATCGTCAACATCGTCATCGTCAACATCATCATCATCGTCATCAACATCATCATCATCGTCGTCATCATCAACATCGTCGTCATCAACATCGTCATCGTCAACATCGTCAACACCATCGTCATCGTCATCATCATCGTCATCAACATCATCATCAACATCATCATCATCAACATCGTCGTCATCAACATCGTCATCGTCAACATCGTCAACATCACCATCGTCATCGTCAACATCACCACCGTCATCGTCAACATCACCACCACTATCACCACCATCAACACCACCGCCACACTCACCTGATGGAGGGGGCTGATCGAAACGACGGCCCTCATGGTGAGCGCCATCTCCCTCTCTCCGGTCTCCGCGTCCTTCACCTCCTCACCAACGCCACGCTCACCACCACGCTCACCACCACGCTCACCACCACGCTCACCACGGCCGCCCGGTCCCCGGCTCCCAGCATGCACTGGGGGGGGGGGTAGCGGATGCACACGTTGCATTCCCACAATGCACCAGGTGGAATAGACAGGAAGCTGTAGACAGGAAGTGAGGGGGGAGGGGGCAGGAAGTTGTAGACAGGAAGTGGGAGACAGGAAGTGGTAGACAGGAAGTGGTAGACAGGAAGTTGTAGACAGGATAGACAGGAAGTTGTAGACAGGAAGTGGTAGACAGGAAGTTGTAGACAGGAAGTGGTAGACAGGAAGCTGGAGACAGGAAGCTGTAGACAGGAAGCTGTAGACAGGAAGCTGGAGACAGGAAGCTGTAGACAGGAAGCGGTAGACAGGAAGTTGTAGACAGGAAGCTGTAGACAGGAAGCTGTAGACAGGAAGTTGTAGACAGGAAGTTGTAGACAGGAAGTGGTAGACAGGAAGTGGTAGACAGGAAGTTGTAGACAGGAAGTGATAGACAGGAAGTTGTAGACAGGAAGTGGTAGACAGGAAGTGGTAGACAGGAAGTGGTAGACAGGAAGTTGTAGACAGGAAGCTGTAGACAGGAAGTGGTAGACAGGAAGTTGTAGACAGGAAGTTGTAGACAGGAAGTTGTAGACAGGAAGTTGTAGACAGGAAGTTGTAGAAAGGAAGTGGTAGACAGGAAGTTGTAGACAGGAAGCGGTAGACAGGAAGTTGTAGACAGGAAGCTGTAGACAGGAAGCTGTAGACAGGAAGTTGTAGACAGGAAGTTGTAGACAGGAAGTGGTAGACAGGAAGTGGTAGACAGGAAGTTGTAGACAGGAAGTTGTAGACAGGAAGTTGTAGACAGGAAGTGGTAGACAGGAAGTGGTAGACAGGAAGTTGAAGACAGGAAGTTGTAGACAGGAAGTGGTAGACAGGAAGTTGTAGACAGGAAGTTGTAGACAGGAAGTGGTAGACAGGAAGTGGTAGACAGGAAGTTGAAGACAGGAAGTGGTAGACAGGAAGTTGTAGACAGGAAGTGGTAGACAGGAAGTGGTAGACAGGAAGCGGTAGACAGGAAGCTGTAGACAGGAAGCGGTAGACAGGAAGTGGTAGACAGGAAGTGGTAGACAGGAAGTTGTAGACAGGAAGTGGTAGACAGGAAGTTGTAGACAGGAAGTGGTAGACAGGAAGTGGTAGACAGGAAGTGGTAGACAGGAAGTGGTAGACAGGAAGTGGTAGACAGGATAGACAGGAAGCTGGAGACAGGAAGTTGTAGACAGGAAGTGGGAGACAGGAAGTGGTAGACAGGAAGTTGTAGACAGGAAGTTGTAGACAGGAAGTTGTAGACAGGAAGTGGTAGACAGGAAGTTGTAGACAGGAAGCTGTAGACAGGAAGTTGTAGACAGGAAGTGGGAGACAGGAAGTTGTAGACAGGAAGTTGTAGACAGGAAGTGGTAGACAGGAAGTGGGAGACAGGAAGTTGTAGACAGGAAGTTGTAGACAGGAAGTGGGAGACAGGAAGTTGTAGACAGGAAGTTGTAGACAGGAAGTGGTAGACAGGAAGTTGTAGACAGGAAGCTGTAGACAGGAAGTTGTAGACAGGAAGCTGGAGACAGGAAGTTGTAGACAGGAAGTGATAGACAGGAAGCTGTAGACAGGAAGCTGTAGACAGGAAGTGGTAGACAGGAAGTGATAGACAGGAAGTGGTAGACAGGAAGTGGTAGACAGGAAGCTGGAGACAGGAAGTTGTAGACAGGAAGTGGTAGACAGGAAGCTGTAGACAGGAAGTTGTAGACAGGAAATTGTAGACAGGAAGTGGTAGACAGGAAGCTGTAGACAGGAAGCTGTAGACAGGAAGCTGTAGACAGAAAGTTGTAGACAGGAAGTGGTAGACAGGAAGTGATAGACAGGAAGTGGTAGACAGGAAGTGGTAGACAGGAAGCTGGAGACAGGAAGTTGTAGACAGGAAGTTGTAGACAGGAAGCTGGAGACAGGAAGTTGTAGACAGGAAATTGTAGACAGGAAGTGGTAGACAGGAAGCTGTAGACAGGAAGCTGTAGACAGGAAGCTGTAGACAGGAAGTGGTAGACAGGAAGTTGTAGACAGGAAGTTGTAGACAGGAAGCTGGAGACAGGAAGTTGTAGACAGGAAATTGTAGACAGGAAGTGGTAGACAGGAAGCTGTAGACAGGAAGCTGTAGACAGGAAGCTGTAGACAGGAAGTGAGCGGCTGTGTCCCCACCGTCCACGACGAACGACTGCAGCTGGTAGTCAGGCACCAGGTGGGAGCGCCCCGTGAGGCAGTAAGCGTATCGCTCCAGCACGTACCACGCCATCTCCGAGTAGAACGGGTAGCGGAACTTGGCAGGTACCTGGGCACCACACAGAGGTACAGAGATGTAGAGACACACGGCTGTGTGGGTGGGTGGGTGAGTGGGTGGGTGGGTGAGTGGGTGGGTGTGTAGGTGGGTGGGTGGGTAGGTGGGTGGGTTTGTGTTTGGGCGAGTGAGTGGGTGCGTGGGTGGGCCGGTGAGTGGGTGGGTAGGTGGGTAGGTAGGTGGGGTTGTGGGTGGGTTTGTGTTTGGGCGAGTGAGTGGGTGGGTAGGTGAGTGGGTGGGTAGGTGAGTGGGTAAGGTAGGTAGGTGGGTAGGTGGGTGGGTAGGTGTTTGGGCGAGTGAGTGCGTGGGTAGGTGAGTGGGTAGGTAGGTAGGTGGGTAGGTGGGTGGGTAGGTGTTTGGGCGAGTGAGTGGGTGGGTAGGTGAGTGGGTAGGTGGGTAGGTGGGTAGGTGGGTGGGATTGTGGGTGAGTTTGTGTTTGGGCGAGTGAGTGGGTGCGTGGGTGGGCCGGTGAGTGGGCGGTGAGTGGTGAGCGAGTGATGAGTGAGTGATGGGTGAGTGGTGAACGAGTGAGCGTGTGAGTGAGCGTGTGAGCGGTGAGTGAGTGATGAGCGGTGAGTGAGTGATGAGTAAGTGATGAGTGAGTGGTGAGTGGTGAGCGTGTGAGCGAGCGTGTGAGTGATGAGCGAGTGATGAGTGAGTGGTGAGTGAGTGGTGAGCGAGTGATGAGTGAGTGACGAGTGAGTGATGAGTGAGTAGGTGAGTGAGTGGTGAGTGAGTGGTGAGTGAGTAGTGAGTGGTGAGTGGTGAGCGTGTGAGCGAGCGTGTGAGTGATGAGCGAGTGATGAGTGAGTGATGAGTGATGAGTGAGTGATGAGTGAGCGTGAGCGAGCGTGTGAGTGATGAGCGAGCAGTGAGCGAGTGATGAGTGGTGAGCGAGTGATGAGTGAGTGATGAGTGAGCGTGTGAGCGAGCGAGTGTGTGGTGAGCGAGTGATGAGTGATGAGTGAGTGATGAGTGATGAGTGAGCGATGAGCGAGTGATGAGTGAGTGATGAGCGAGTGATGAGTGAGTGGTGAGTGAGTGGTGAGTGAGTAGGTGAGTGAGTGGTGAGTGAGTGGTGAGTGAGTAGGTGAGTGAGTGGTGAGTGAGTGGTGAGTGAGTAGTGAGTGGTGAGTGGTGAGCGTGTGAGCGAGCGTGTGAGTGGTAAGCGAGTGGTGAGTGAGTGATGAGCGAGTGATGAGCGAGTGATGAGTGATGAGTGAGTGGTGAGTGATGAGTGAGTGGTGAGCGAGTGGTGAGCGAGCGTGTGAGTGGTGAGTGATGAGTGGTGAGCGAGTGAGCGTGTGAGTGATGAGCGTGTGAGTGATGAGCGTGTGAGTGAGTGAGCGAGCGGTGAGTGTTGAGCGAGCGACCAAGCACCCGCGTCTTATCCTCGATGGCGTAGATGCGCAGCTGCATGGGGATATTGAAGCTGTGCAGAAAGTTTCCCCCGAACACCAACGCATCCTCAGGTGTGTACACGGCGTGGATCCAGCCTGCACCCTCACACAGACAAAGGTCCCCCGTGTAGCCTCTCGGCACGCTGCGAAGCGGGGGCAAGGGGGAACGGCAGCGCCTGTGCAGCCCGGAACTGTGGCAGGGGGAAAGGCCGTGTGGGGCTGGGACCACCACCACCACCATCACTGTCACCACCACCATCATCACTATCACCACCACCACCATCACTGTCACCACCGCCATCATCACTATCACCACCACCACCATCATCACAACCGTCGTCATCACCACCATCATCACCACCACCATCACTGTCACCACCACCATCATCACTATCACCACCACCACCATCATCACAAGCGTCGTCATCACCACCATCATCACCACCACCATCACTGTCACCACCACCATCATCACTATCACCACCACCACCATCATCACAAGCGTCGTCATCACCACCATCATCACCACCACCATCACTGTCACCACCACCATCATCACTATCACCACCACCACCATCACTGTCACCACCGCCATCATCACTATCACCACCACCACCATCATCACAACCGTCGTCATCACCACCATCATCACCACCACCATCACTGTCACCACCACCATCATCACTATCACCACCACCACCATCATCACAAGCGTCGTCATCACCACCATCATCACCACCACCATCACTGTCACCACCACCATCATCACTATCACCACCACCACCATCATCACAAGCGTCGTCATCACCACCATCATCACCACCATCATCACTGTCACCACCGCCATCATCACTATCACCACCACCACCATCATCACAAGCGTCGTCATCACCACCATCATCACCACCATCATCACAAGCGTCATCACCATCATCACTATCACCACCACCACCATCATCACAAGCGTCGTCATCACCACCATCATCACCACCATCATCACTGTCACCACCGCCATCATCACTATCACCACCACCACCATCATCACAAGCGTCGTCATCACCACCATCATCACCACCACCATCACTGTCACCACCACCATCATCACTATCACCACCACCACCATCATCACAAGCGTCGTCATCACCACCATCATCACCACCACCATCACTGTCACCACCACCATCATCACTATCACCACCACCACCATCATCACAAGCGTCGTCATCACCACCATCATCACCACCATCATCACTGTCACCACCGCCATCATCACTATCACCACCACCACCATCATCACAAGCGTCGTCATCACCACCATCATCACCACCATCATCACAAGCGTCATCACCATCATCACTATCACCACCACCACCATCATCACAAGCGTCGTCATCACCACCATCATCACCACCATCATCACTGTCACCACCGCCATCATCACTATCACCACCACCACCATCATCACAAGCGTCGTCATCACCACCATCATCACCACCATCATCACAAGCGTCATCACCATCATCACTATCACCACCACCACCATCATCACAAGCGTCGTCATCACCACCATCATCACCACCATCATCACTGTCACCACCGCCATCATCACTATCACCACCACCACCATCATCACAAGCGTCGTCATCACCACCATCATCACCACCATCATCACAAGCGTCATCACCATCATCACTATCACCACCACCACCATCATCACAAGCGTCGTCATCACCACCATCATCACCACCATCATCACTGTCACCACCGCCATCATCACTATCACCACCACCACCATCATCACAAGCGTCGTCATCACCACCATCATCACCACCATCATCACTGTCACCACCGCCATCATCACTATCACCACCACCACCATCATCACAAGCGTCGTCATCACCACCATCATCACCACCATCATCACAAGCGTCATCACCATCATCACTATCACCACCACCACCATCATCACAAGCGTCGTCATCACCACCATCATCACCACCATCATCACTGTCACCACCACCATCATCACTATCACCACCACCACCATCATCACAAGCGTCGTCATCACCACCATCATCACCACCATCATCACTGTCACCACCGCCATCATCACTATCACCACCACCACCATCATCACAAGCGTCGTCATCACCACCATCATCACCACCATCATCACAAGCGTCATCACCATCATCACTATCACCACCACCACCATCATCACAAGCGTCGTCATCACCACCATCATCACCACCATCATCACTGTCACCACCGCCATCATCACTATCACCACCACCACCATCATCACAAGCGTCGTCATCACCACCATCATCACCACCATCATCACAAGCGTCATCACCATCATCACTATCACCACCACCACCATCATCACAAGCGTCGTCATCACCACCATCATCACCACCATCATCACTGTCACCACCGCCATCATCACTATCACCACCACCACCATCATCACAAGCGTCGTCATCACCACCATCATCACCACCATCATCACAAGCGTCATCACCATCATCACTATCACCACCACCACCATCATCACAAGCGTCGTCATCACCACCATCATCACCACCATCATCACTGTCACCACCGCCATCATCACTATCACCACCACCACCATCATCACAAGCGTCGTCATCACCACCATCATCACCACCATCATCACTGTCACCACCGCCATCATCACTATCACCACCACCACCATCATCACAAGCGTCGTCATCACCACCATCATCACCACCATCATCACAAGCGTCATCACCATCATCACTATCACCACCACCACCATCATCACAAGCGTCGTCATCACCACCATCATCACCACCATCATCACTGTCACCACCACCATCATCACTATCACCACCACCACCATCATCACAAGCGTCGTCATCACCACCATCATCACCACCATCATCACAAGCGTCATCACCATCATCACTATCACCACCACCACCATCATCACAAGCGTCGTCATCACCACCATCATCACCACCATCATCACTGTCACCACCGCCATCATCACTATCACCACCACCACCATCATCACAAGCGTCGTCATCACCACCATCATCACCACCATCATCACAAGCGTCATCACCATCATCACTATCACCACCACCACCATCATCACAAGCGTCACCATCATCACCAACATCACCACCATCATCATCACAAGCGTCATCATCACCAACATCATCACCAACATCATCATCACAAGCGTCAACATCATCACCAACATCACCACCATCATCATCACAAGCGTCATCATCACCAACATCATCATCACAAGCGTCATCATCATCACAAGCGTCAACATCACCACAAGCGTCATCATCATCACAAACGTCAACATCATCACCACCATCATCATCACAAGCGTCAACATCATCACAAGCGTCAACATCACCACCACCATCATCACCACCATCATCATCACAAACGTCAACATCATCACCACCATCATCATCATCACAAGCGTCAACATCATCACAAGCGTCAACATCACCACCACCATCATCACCACCATCATCATCACAAACGTCAACATCATCACCACCATCATCATCACAAGCGTCAACATCATCACAAGCGTCAACATCACCACCACCATCATCACCACCATCATCATCACAAACGTCAACATCATCACCACCATCATCATCACAAGCGTCAACATCATCACAAGCGTCAACATCACCACCACCATCATCACCACCACCATCATCACAAGCGTCAACATCATCACAAGCGTCAACATCACCACCACCATCATCAGCACCATCATCAGCACGCCTAAAGTGCCTAGCCGGTGTCCAAGGCGATAGGTTGGCACAAATCTACCCGGCCGCTCACCCACCAGCTCACTCACACACACACATCACACACACCACACACACACTCACTCATACACACACTCACTCATACACACACCTACACACACACACACACATCCACACACACACCCACACACACACCCACTCACCCACACACCCACTCGCCCGCCCACTAACTCACTCGCCCACCCACCCACTCGCCCACCCACCTACACACTCGCCCACCCACTCGCCCACCCACCCACTCGCCCACCCACCCACCCACTCACCCACCCACCCACTCACCCGCCCGCCCACCCACCCACTCACCTACCCACCCACTCACCCGCCCGCCCACCCACCCACTCACCCGCCCACCCACCCACCCACCCGCCCACCCACCCACCCACCCGCCCACCCACCCACTCGCCCACCCACCCACCTGAGGGAATGACGAATGTGTAACCGGTGTGCAGGGCTATGCGCTGGCAGGCCTCCACGCGGTCCGCCAGGAAGACGTCGCCCTGTTTCCCCGACAGGACCCAACTCTCATACAGCTCCAGGTTCCGCTGCGTGGGGGGGATCATCCAGAACACCTGGGGAGGTGGGGGGCACGGAGGTCGGACAACATCGGCCCATCATCACATCACTAGCGTCCTCACGTACAAGTATCATCATCATCACACCGGTAGCGTCGTCATCACACGTACAAGTAGCATCATCATCAGCATCATCACATCACTAGTGTCGTCATACGTACAAGTAGCATCATCATCATCACATCACTAGCGTCATCACGTGCAGGTATCATCATCATCACATCACTAGCGTCATCACACATACAAGTAGCATCATCATCATCGGTAGCGTCATCACACGTACAAGTACCATCATCATCATCACATCACTAGCGTCGTCACACGTGCAGGTAGCATCATCATCACATCACTAGTGTCGTCATACATGCAGGTAGCATCATCATCATCACACCGGTAGTGTCGTCATACGTGCAGGCAGCATCATCATCACATCGGTAGCGTCGTCATCATATGTGCAGTAGCATCATCATCATATCAGTAGTGTTACAATACCCTCACCATCACCCTCATCACCATCACCCTCACCACCACCACCCTCACCATCACCCTCACCACCACCACCCTCACCACCACCAGCACCACCACCCTCACCACCACCACCCTCACCACCACCACCCTCACCACCACCCTCACCACCACCACCCTCACCACCACCCTCACCACCATCCTCACCACCCTCCTCACCACCACCCTCACCACCACCCTCACCACCCTCGCCACGACGGTCGCCACGGTTACCTTGCCACCACGCAGGATGTGGTACCAGACAGAGGTGCCCCCAAAGTCGATGTGGAAGTCGGTGAAACAGCCACGGACACTCATCAGGCAGTACCTGGGGGCAGCAGTCACACACACACACAGTGACACACACACACAGTCACACACACACAGTCACACACACACAGTCACACACACACAGTCACACACACAGTCACACACACACAGTCACACACACACACACACAGTCACACACACACAGTCACACACACTCACAGTCACACACACACACACAGTCACACACACACAGTCACACACACACAGTCACACACACACAGTCACACACAGTCACACACACACAGTGACACACACTCAGTGACACACACACAGTCACACACACACACAGTCACACACACACACAGTCACACACACACACAGTCACACACACACAGTCACACACACACACAGTCACGCACACAGTCACACACACAGTCACACACACAGTCACACACACACAGTCACACACACAGTCACACACACACACACAGTCACACACACACAGTCACACACACACAGTGACACACACACACAGTGACACATACACACAGTCACACACACACACAGTCACACACACACAGTCACGCACACACACACACAGTCACGCACACACACAGTCACAAACACACACACAGTCACACACACACAGTCACACACACACACAGTCACACACACACAGTGACACACACACACAGTCACACACACACACAGTGGCACACATACACAGTGACACACACACAGTGACACACACACACACAGTCACACACAGTCACACACAGACAGTCACCAGGCAGTAGCCTAGGTGGTGTGTGTGTAGGTGTGTCTGTGTGTGTCTGTGTGTGTGTCTGTACGTGTGTATCTGTGTGAGTGTGTGTCACTGTGAGTGTGTGTCACTGTGTGTGTGTCAGTGTTAGTGACTGTGTGTGTGTCACTGTGTGTGTATGTGTGTGTGTGTATGTCTGTGTATTTGTGCGTGTCTATGTGTGTATGTGTGTGTCTCTGTGTGTGTCTGTGTGTGTGTCTGTCTGTGTGTGTGACTGTGTATCGGTGTGTGTATCTGTGTGTGTATGTGTGTGTGACTGTGTGTGTGACTGTGTGTGTGTGACTGTGTGTGTGTGACTGTGTGTGTGTGACTGTGTGACTGTGTGTGTATGTGTGTGTGACTGTGTGTGTATGTGTGACTGTGTGACTGTGTGTGTATGACTGTGTGTGTATGTGTATGACTGTGTGTGTGTGTGACTGTGTGACTGTGTGTGACTGTGTGTGTATGTGTGTGACTGTGTGTGTATGTGTGTGACTGTGTGTGTATGTGTGTGACTGTGTGTGTGTGTGATTGTGTGACTCTGTGTGACTGTGTGTGTATGTGTGTGACTGTGTGTGTGACTGTGTGTGTGACTGTGTGTGTGTGACTGTGCGTGTGTGTGACTGTCACAACAGCGAGCGGAGCGCCGGGTGGCTAAAGCACAGCAGGTTGGCACAGTAGGGGGCACAGGTGGTGCATCAGCCAGTCATCTCAGTCAGTCGACCCGTGGCACCTGGGTCTGCCCAGTGACCTCCTGCCAGCGGGCGTTCGACACTTCACGTGGCCTCAGAGTGCACATAGCCTGGCACAAGCGTCGTGGTGACGTCACCGCCACTTAGTGGCGAATGGCGGTTGTTGTTGTGTGACTGTGTGTGACTGTGACTGTGTGTGACTGTGTGTGTGTGTTACTGTGTGTGTGTGTGACTGTGTGTGTGTGACTGTGTGTGTGTGTGACTGTGTGTGTGTGTGACTGTGTGTGTGTGTGACTGTGTGTGACTGTGTGACTGTGTGTGACTGTGTGTGTCTGTGCATGTATGTGTGTGACTGTATGTGTGTGTGTGACTGTGAGTGACTGTGTGAGAGAGAGACGGACTTCTGCACTTTGGGGTACTTCATCTGTGACTGTGACTGTGTGACTGTGTGTGTGACTGTGTTACTGTGTGTGTGACTGTGTATGTATGTGTATGTAGTGTGTGTATGTGTGTGTGTAGTGTGTGAGAGACGGACTTCTGCACTTTGGGGTACTTCATCTGTGACTGTGTGTGTGACTGTATGTGTATGTGTGACTGTGTGACTGTGTGTGTGTGACTGTGTGTGTGTGACTGTGTATGTGTGTATGTGTGTATGTATGTGTATGTGTGTGCATGTATGTGTGTGTGACTGTGTATGACTGTATGTGTGACTGTGAGAGACGGACTTCTGCACTTTGGGGTACTTCATCTGTGACTGTGTATGTGTCACTGTGTGTGTGTGTGACTGTGTGTGTATGTATGTGTGTGTGACTGTGTGTATGACTGTGTGTATGACTGTATATGTATGAGTGTGTGTGAGAGACTGACTTCTGCACTTTGGGGTACTTCATCTGTGACTGACTGTGTGACTGTGTATGTGTGTGTGTCACTGTGTGTGTGTGTATGTGTGTGTGACTGTGTGTATGACTGTGTGTGTGACTGTGAGAGACTGACTTCTGCACTTTGGGGTACTTCATCTGTGACTGTGTATGTGTGTGTGACTGTGTGTGTCAGTGTGTGTGACTGTGTGTATGTGTGTATGTATGTGTATGTATGAGTGTGTGTGAGAGACTGACTTCTGCACTTTGGGGTACTTCATCTGTGACTGTGTGACTGTGTGTGTGACTGTGTGTATGTGTGTGTGTGACTGTGTGACTGTGTGTGTATGACTGTATGTGTGTGTGACTGTGTGTGTGTGACTGTGTGACTGTGTGTATGACTGTATGTATGACTGTGAGAGACTGACTTCTGCACTTTGGGGTACTTCATCTGTGACTGTGTGTGACTGTGTGACTGTGTGTGTATGTATGTGTGTGACTGTGAGAGACTGACTTCTGCACTTTGGGGTACTTCATCTGTGACTGTGTGACTGTGTGTGTGACTGTGTGTATGTGTGTGTGTGACTGTGTGACTGTGTGTATGACTGTGTGACTGTGTGTATGACTGTGTGACTGTGTGTATGTGTGTATGACTGTGTGACTGTGTGTATGACTGTGTGACTGTGTGTATGACTGTGTGACTGTGTGTATGACTGTGTGACTGTGTGTATGACTGTGAGAGACTGACTTCTGCACTTTGGGGTACTTCATCTGTGACTGTGTGTGACTGTGACTGTGTCACTGTGTATGTGTATGACTGTGTGTATGACTGTGTATGTATGTGTGACTGTGAGAGACGGACTTCTGCACTTTGGGGTACTTCATCTGTGACTGTGTATGTGACTGTGTGTGACTGTGTGTATATGACTGTATGTGTATGTATGTGTGTGTGAGAGACTGACTTCTGCACTTTGGGGTACTTCATCTGTGACTGTGTGTGTGACTGTGTGTGTATGACTGTGTGACTGTGTGTGTGACTGTGTGTGTGTGAGAGACTGACTTCTGCACTTTGGGGTACTTCATCTGTGACTGTGTATGTGTGACTGTGTGACTGTGTGTGTGACTGTGTGTATGACTGTATGTGTGTGTGACTGTGTGTGTGTGACTGTGTGACTGTGTGTGTGTGAGAGACTGACTTCTGCACTTTGGGGTACTTCATCTGTGACTGTGTATGTGTGACTGTGTGACTGTGTGTGTGACTGTGTGTATGACTGTATGTGTGTGTGACTGTGTGTGTGTGACTGTGTGACTGTGTGTGTGTGAGAGACTGACTTCTGCACTTTGGGGTACTTCATCTGTGACTGTGTATGTGTGACTGTGTGACTGTGTGTGTGACTGTGTGTATGACTGTATGTGTGTGTGACTGTGTGTGTGTGACTGTGTGACTGTGTGTGTGTGAGAGACTGACTTCTGCACTTTGGGGTACTTCATCTGTGACTGTGTATGTGTGACTGTGTGACTGTGTGTGTGACTGTGTGTATGACTGTATGTGTGTGTGACTGTGTGTGTGTGACTGTGTGACTGTGTGTGTGTGAGAGACTGACTTCTGCACTTTGGGGTACTTCATCTGTGCTATGACGTTGGTGGACTCCTTCTGGTTCTCCTTCAGGTGCCGTGGCCACATCGTGTCAACCCAGTCCACCTGCTCCACCTGGGGGGCGGGGCATGAGGGGCGGGGCATGAGGGGAGGGGCATGAGGGGTGGGGCGTGAGGGGAGGGGCGTGAGGGGCGGGGCGTGAGGGGAGGGGCGTGAGGGGCGTGAGGGGCGTGAGGGGAGGGACGTGAGGGGAGGGGGGAGAGACGTTGAACCAGCGACTCCAAGCATGTGTGGCTGAACTCACCACTCACTCACTCACTCACCACTCACTCACCACTCACTCACTCACCACTCACTCACTCACCACTCACTCACTCACCACTCACTCACTCACCACTCACTCACCACTCACTCACTCACCACTCACTCACTCACCACTCACTCACCACTCACTCACTCACTCACCACTCACTCACCACTCACCCACTCACCACTCACTCACTCACTCACTCACCACTCACTCACTCACCACTCACTCACTCACTCACCACTCACTCACTCACCACTCACTCACTCACTCACCACTCACTCACCCACTCACTCACCACTCACTCACTCACCACTCACTCACCACTCACTCACTCACCACTCACTCACCACTCACTCACTCACTCACCACTCACTCACCACTCACTCACTCACCACTCACTCACCACTCACTCACCACTCACTCACAACTCACTCACTCACAACTCACTCCTCACCCACTCACCCACTCACTCACTCACCACTCACTCCTCACCCACTCACTCACCACTCACTCACAACTCACTCACCACTCACCCACTCACTCACTCACCCACTCACTCACCCAGAACTCACTCACTACTCACTCACTACTCACCACTCACTCACTCCTCACCCACTCACCCACTCACTCACTCACCCACTCACCCACTCACCACCCACTCAACACCCACTCACCACCCACTCACCACTCACTCACCCACTCACCACCCACTCACTCACTCACCCACTCACTACCCACTCACCACCCACTCACTCACCCACTCACCACCCACTCACCACCCACTCACCACCCACTCACCCACTCACTCACCCACTCATCACTCACCACCCACTCACCACCCACTCACTCACCACCTACTCACCCACTCACTCACCCACTCACTCACTCACTCACCACCCACTCACCCACTCACTCACCCACTCACTCACGCACCACCCACTCACTCACCCACTCACCCACTCACCACCCACTCACCACCCACTCACTCACTCACTCACCCACTCACCACCCACTCACCACCCATTCACTCACTCACTCACCCACTCACTCACCCACTCACTCACCACTCACTCACTCACCACCCACTCACCACCCACTCACCACCCACTCATCACTCATCACTCACCACCCACTCATCACTCACCACCCACTCACCACGGCAGAGCGTTGAACCAGCGACTCCAGGCGTGTGTGGCTGAACTCACCACTCACTCACAACTCACTCCTCACCACTCACTCACCACTCACCACCCACTCACTCACTCACCCACTCACCCACTCACCACCCACTCACCACTCACTCACCACTCACTCCTCATCACTCACTCACCACCCACTCACCACCCACCCACTCACTCACCCACTCACTCACCACTCACTCACTCACCACCCACTCACCACCCACCCACTCACCACCCACTCACCACCCACTCACCACTCACTCACCACCCACTCACTCACCCACTCACTCACCACTCACCCACTCACCACTCACTCACCACCCACTCACCACCCACTCACCACCCACTCACCACCCACTCACTCACCACTCACTCACTCACTCACCACTCACTCACCACTCACTCACCACCCACTCACCACCCACTCACCACGGCAGGGCGTTGAACCAGCGACTCCAGGCGTGTGTGGCTGAACTCGAGGGAGATGACGTTGTAAAGTTTGCCCCGCTGAGCGGATGGCGTGTTGTAGTAACGCGCCCACTGACTCATCGTCATCTCAATGCCCTTCTGGGTGGTCACGTCCATCACGTCCACCATGCGCCGACTGCCTGCACACACACACAGTGATACACACAGTGACACACACAGTGACACACACACAGTGACACACACACAGTGACACACACAGTGACACACACAGTGACACACACACAGTGACACACACACAGTGACACACATACACACACAGTGACACACACAGTGACACACACACAGTGACACACACACAGTGACACACACAGTGACACACACAGTGACACACACACAGTGACACACACACACAGTGACACACACAGTGACACACACACAGTGACACACACACAGTGACACACACACAGTGACACACACAGTGACACACACAGTGACACACACACACAGTGACACACACACACACACACAGTGACACACACACAGTGACACACACACACACAGTGAGACACACACACACAGACGTGTACACACACAGAGAGACACACGTGTACACAGTGACACACACAGTGACACACACACACAGACAGACACACAGTGACACAGTGACACACACAGTGAGACACACACACAGACGTGTACACACACAGAGAGACACACGTGTACACAGTGACACACACAGTGAGACACACACACAGTGACACACAAAGTGACACACACACACAGTGACACACACAGTGACACACACACAGAGAGACACACGTGTACACAGTGACACACACAGTGACACACACACACACAGACGTGTACATACACACAGAGAGTCACACGCACACACACACACACACAGTGACACACACACAGTGACACACACAGTGCCACACACACACACAGTGACACACACAGTGAGACACACACAGACGTGTACACACACACAGAGAGTCACACGTGTACACAACCACACAGACGTGTGTACACCTGACTTACCCACGTACATCTTGACATCGTTGACACTGAAGTCCTTCCCAGGCATTCTGCAACAGAGACACACGGGGAGACACGGGGAGACACACGGGGAGACACGGAGACACACGGGGAGACACGGAGACACACGGGGAGACACGGAGACACACGGGGAGACACGGAGACACACGGGGAGACACGGAGACACACGGAGACAAACGGGGGGAGAGACACACGGGGAGACACACGGAGACACACGGGGACACACGGGGAGACACGGGGAGAGACACGGGGAGAGACACACGGGGAGACACACGGAGACACACGGGGAGACACGGAGACACACGGAGAAACATGGGGGAGAGACACGGGGAGAGACGGGGGGAGACACGGAGTCACGGGGGGAGAGACGCGGGGAGAGACACGGGGGGAGAGACGGGGGGAGAGACAGGGGGGAGAGACACGGGGGGGAGAGACACGGGGAGAGAGACACGGGGGAGAGACACGGGGGAGAGACACGGGGGAGAGACACGGGGGGAGAGACACGGGGGAGAGAGACACGGGGGGGAGAGACACGGGGGGAGAGACACGGGGGGAGAGACATGGGGGAGAGAGACACGGGGGGGAGAGACACGGGGAGAGAGACACGGGGAGAGACACGGGGGGGAGAGACACGGGGAGAGAGACACGGGGGAGAGACACGGGGGAGAGACACGGGGGAGAGAGACACGGGGGAGAGACACGGGGGAGAGACACGGGGGGAGAGACACGGGGGAGAGAGACACGGGGGGGGAGACACGGGGGGAGAGACACGGGGGGAGAGACACGGGGGAGAGAGACACGGGGGTGAGAGACACGGGGGGGAGAGACACGGGGGGAGAGACACGGGGGGAGAGACACGGGGAGAGAGACACGGGGGGGAGAGACACGGGGGGAGAGACACGGGGGGAGAGACACGGGGGGAGAGACACGGGAGAGAGAGACACGGGGGGGAGAGACACGGGGAGAGAGACACGGGGGGAGAGACACGGGGGGAGAGACACGGGGGGAGAGACACGGGGGGAGAGACACGGGGGGAGAGACACGGGGGAGAGAGACACGGGGGGGAGAGACACGGGGAGAGAGACACGGGGGGGAGAGACACGGGGAGAGAGACACGGGGAGAGAGACACGGGGGGAGAGACGGGGGGAGAGACAGGGGGGAGAGACACGGGGGGGAGAGACACGGGGGAGAGAGACACGGGGGAGAGACACGGGGGGAGAGACACGGGGGGGAGAGACACGGGGAGAGAGACACGGGTAGAGAGACACGGGGAGAGAGACACGGGGAGAGAGACACGGTCATAATGTCATAGACAGCCGGCAGCAGCAGCAGCAAGAAAGGTTGATGGATCACACAGAGATTGCCTTTGAAGCTCACTCCCCTCTCTCCATGTGTGCACTAATCTCCATCTGTTCCATCTTGCTCCCTGCTACCCCACACGCTTCACTCCCCTCGTGCTCTCTCCAGTACTCCATCACAGACTTCCCTCCCCACTCCTCCACAACCACCACCACCTCAACCACCACCTTCACCACCACCACCACCTTCACCACCACCACCTTAACCACCACCACCTTAACCACCACCACCTTAACCACCACCACCTTAACCACCACCACCACCTTCACCACCACCACCTTAACCACCACTACCTTAACCACCACCACCTTCACCACCACCACCTCAACCACCACCACCTTCACCACCACCACCTTAACCACCACCACCTTAACCACCACCACCTTCACCACCACCACCTCAACCACCACCACCTTAACCACCACCACCACCTTCACCACCACCACCTTAACCACCACCACCTTAACCACCACCACCTTAACCACCACCACCACCTTCACCACCACCACCACCTTAACCACCACCACCTTAACCACCACCACCACCTTCACCACCACCACCTTAACCACCACCACCTTAACCACCACCACCTTCACCACCACCACCTCAACCACCACCACCACCTTCACCACCACCACCTTAACCACCACCACCTTAACCACCACCACCACCTTCACCACCACCACCACCTTCACCACCACCACCTCAACCACCACCGCCACCTTCACCACCACCACCTTAACCACCACCACCTTAACCACCACCACCTTCACCACCACCACCTTAACAACCACCACCACCTTAACCACCACCACCTTAACCACCACCACCTTCACCACCACCACCTTAACAACCACCACCACCTTAACCACCACCACCTTAACCACCACCACCTTCACCACCACCACCACCTTAACCACCACCACCACCTTAACCACCACCACCTTAACCACCACCACCACCTTAACCACCTCAACCACCACCACCTTCACCACCACCACCTTCACCACCACCACCTTAACCACCACCACCCTCACCACCACCCCCCCCCCACCACCCCCACCACCACCCCCACCCTCCCCCCACCACCACCTCCTCACTTCATGTTGAGTCCGTCCGGCTTGGTGAAGACGAGCGGCGTGCGGAGCCCCTCCTCCTGTATGTAGCGGTAGGTGAAGTCTGCACCACACACACAGACAAAGGTCCCCCAGGTAGCCTCTAGCAAGCTGTAGGGGCAAGTGCTGTGACTAGCGGTAGGTGAAGTCTGCACCACACACAGACACAGGTCCCCCAGGTAGCCTCTAGCAAGCTGTAGGGGCAAGTGCTGTGACTAGCGGTAGGTGAAGTCTGCACCACACACACAGACACAGGTCCCCCAGGTAGCCTCTAGCAAGCTGTAGGGGCAAGTGCTGTTAGTAGCGGTAGGTGAAGTCTGCACCACACACACAGACAAAGGTCCCCCAGGTAGCCTCTAGCAAGCTGTAGGGGCAAGTGCTGTGACTAGCGGTAGGTGAAGTCTGCACCACACACACAGACACAGGTCCCCCAGGTAGCCTCTAGCAAGCTGTAGGGGCAAGTGCTGTGACTAGCGGTAGGTGAAGTCTGCACCACACACACAGACAAAGGTCCCCCAGGTAGCCTCTAGCAAGCTGTAGGGGCAAGTGCTGTGACTAGCGGTAGGTGAAGTCTGCACCACACACACAGACAAAGGTCCCCCAGGTAGCCTCTAGCAAGCTGTAGGGGCAAGTGCTGTGACTAGCGGTAGGTGAAGTCTGCACCACACACAGACAAAGGTCCCCCAGGTAGCCTCTAGCAAGCTGTAGGGGCAAGTGCTGTGACTAGCGGTAGGTGAAGTCTGCACCACACACACAGACACAGGTCCCCCAGGTAGCCTCTAGCAGGATGTAGGGGCAAGTGCTGTGACTAGCGGTAGGTGAAGTCTGCACCACACACAGACAAAGGTCCCCCAGGTAGCCTCTAGCAAGCTGTAGGGGCAAGTGCTGTGACTAGCGGTAGGTGAAGTCTGCACCACACACACAGACACAGGTCCCCCAGGTAGCCTCTAGCAAGCTGTAGGGGCAAGTGCTGTGACTAGCGGTAGGTGAAGTCTGCACCACACACACAGACAAAGGTCCCCCAGGTAGCCTCTAGCAAGCTGTAGGGGCAAGTGCTGTGACTAGCGGTAGGTGAAGTCTGCACCACACACACAGACAAAGGTCCCCCAGGTAGCCTCTAGCAAGCTGTAGGGGCAAGTGCTGTGACTAGCGGTAGGTGAAGTCTGCACCACACACACAGACAAAGGTCCCCCAGGTAGCCTCTAGCAAGCTGTAGGGGCAAGTGCTGTGACTAGCGGTAGGTGAAGTCTGCACCACACACACAGACAAAGGTCCCCCAGGTAGCCTCTAGCAAGCTGTAGGGGCAAGTGCTGTGACTAGCGGTAGGTGAAGTCTGCACCACACACACAGACAAAGGTCCCCCAGGTAGCCTCTAGCAAGCTGTAGGGGCAAGTGCTGTGACTAGCGGTAGGTGAAGTCTGCACCACACACAGACAAAGGTCCCCCAGGTAGCCTCTAGCAAGCTGTAGGGGCAAGTGCTGTGACTAGCGGTAGGTGAAGTCTGCACCACACACACAGACAAAGGTCCCCCAGGTAGCCTCTAGCAAGATGTAGGGGCAAGTGCTGTGACTAGCGGTAGGTGAAGTCTGCACCACACACAGACAAAGGTCCCCCAGGTAGCCTCTAGCAAGATGTAGGGGCAAGTGCTGTGACTAGCGGTAGGTGAAGTCTGCACCACACACACAGACAAAGGTCCCCCAGGTAGCCTCTAGCAAGCTGCAGGGGCAAGTGCTGTGAGTAGCGAGTAGCAGCACCTACACACAGACACGTACACACAGACACGTACACACATGTACACACAGACACGTACACAGAGACACGTACACACACGTACACACAGACACGTACACACAGACACGTACACACACGTACACACAGACACGTACACAGAGACACGTACACACAGACACACAGACACACACAAACGTACCCCGGGTAGCATCCACCGTGTCTCCCACCGTGTCTCCCACCGTGTCTCCCCGGTGTCTCCCTCTCCCCCCGTGTCTCCCTCTCCCCCCGTGTCTCTCCCGTGTCTCCCCCGTGTCTCTCCCACCGTGTCCCCCCCCGTGTCTCTCCCACCATGTCTCCCTCTCCCCCGTGTCTCCCCGTGTCTCTCCTCCGTGTCTCCCCCCGTGTCTCCCCCACCGTGTCTCTCCCACCGTGTCTCTCCCCCCCCCGTGTCTCTCTCCCCGTGTCTCTCTCCCCCGTGTCTCTCTCCCCGTGTCTCTCTCCCCCGTGTCTCCCCCCGTGTCTCTCCCCCCGTGTCTCCCACCCGTGTCTCTCTCCCCCCGTGTCTCTCTCCCCGTGTCTCTCCCCGTGTCTCCCCCCGTGTCTCCCCCACCGTGTCTCTCCCACCGTGTCTCCCCCCGTGTCTCCCCCCGTGTCTCCCTCTCCCCCGTGTCTCCCCCGTGTCTCCCTCTCCCACCGTGTCTCCCTCTCCCCCGTGTCTCTCCCCCGTGTCTCTCCCCCGTGTCTCTCCCACCGTGTCTCCCTCCCCCCCCGTGTCTCCCTCTCCCCCGTGTCTCCCTCCCCCCCCGTGCCTCCCCCCCCGTGTCTCCCTCCCCCCCCGTGCCTCCCCCCCCGTGTCTCCCTCCCCCCCCGTGTCTCCCTCTCCCACCGTGTCTCCCTCCCCCCCGTGTCTCCCTCTCCCCCGTGTCTCCCTCCCCCCCCCGTGTCTCCCTCCCCCCCCGTGTCTCCCCCCCCGTGTCTCCCTCTCCCCCGTGTCTCCCTCTCCCCCGTGTCTCCCCCGTGTCTCCCCCGTGTCTCCCTCTCCCACCGTGTCTCCCTCCCCCCCCGTGTCTCCCTTTCCCCCGTGTCTCCCTCCCCCCCCGTGCCTCCCCCCCCGTGTCTCCCCCCGTGTCTCCCCCCGTGTCTCCCCCGTGTCTCCCCCACCGTGTCTCCCCCCCCGTGTCTCCCTCCCTCACCGTGTCTCCCTCTCCCCCGTGTCTCCCTCTCCCCCGTGTCTCCCTCTCCCCCGTGTCTCTCCCCCGTGTCTCCCTTTCCCCCACCGTGTCTCCCTCTCCCCCGTGTCTCCCTCTCCCCCGTGTCTCCCCCCCCGTGTCTCCCCCCGTGTCTTCCCCCGTGTCTCCCCCCGTGTCTCCCCCCCCGTGTCTCCCCCCCCCGTGTCTCCCCCCGTGTCTCTCCCCCGTGTCTCCCCCCGTGTCTCCCTCTCCCCCGTGTCTCCCCCCGTGTCTCCCTCTCCCACCATGTCTCCCCCCGTGTCACCCCCGTGTCTCCCCCACCCTGTCTCCCCCCGTGTCTCCCCCCGTGTCTCCCTCTCCCCCGTGTCTCCCCCCGTGTCTCCCCCCGTGTCTCCCCCCCCGTGTCTCCCCCCCCCCGTGTCTCCCCCCGTGTCTCTCCCCCGTGTCTCCCCCCGTGTCTCCCTCTCCCACCATGTCTCCCCCCGTGTCACCCCCCGTGTCTCCCCCACCCTGTCTCCCCCCGTGTCTCCCCCCGTGTCTCCCTCTCCCCCGTGTCTCCCCCCGTGTCTCCCCCCGTGTCTCCCCCCCCGTGTCTCCCCCCCCCGTGTCTCCCCCCGTGTCTCTCCCCCGTGTCTCCCCCCGTGTCTCCCTCTCCCCCGTGTCTCCCCCCGTGTCTCCCTCTCCCACCATGTCTCCCCCCGTGTCACCCCCCGTGTCTCCCCCACCCTGTCTCCCCCCGTGTCTCCCCCCGTGTCTCCCTCTCCCCCGTGTCTCCCCCCGTGTCTCCCTCCCCCACCATGTCTCCCCCCGTGTCTCCCCCCGTGTCTCCCCCCGTGTCTCCCCCCCCGTGTCTCCCCCGTGTCTCCCCCAACCTGCTCCGTGCATGCTGCTGACAAAGTGAGCGTCGTAGCGGCCACTCCGCAGCTTCTCCTCCAGGTCGAAGCTCCGCTTGCCCTCGATCTCGTCGTCCGAGACGTCCCCGTCGTCGTAGCGACGGGGCATCACCGATCGCTACGGAGACACGCGCACGGGGACACGTGGTCGTCATGGCAACAAGGCATCACCGATCGCTACGGAGACACGCGCACGGGGACACGCGTGGTCGTCATGGCAACGCGGCATCACCTATCGCCACGGAGACACGCGTGGTCGTCATGGCAACAAGGCATCACCGATCGCTACGGAGACACGCGCACGGAGACACGTGGTCGTCATGGCAACGCGGCATCACCGATCGTCACGGAGACACGCGCGGGGGGACACGCGTGGTCGTCATGGCAACGTGGCATCACCTATCGCCACAGAGACACTGGTCGTCATGGCAACGCGGCATGACCGATCGCTAGGGAGACACGCGCAGGGGGACACGTGGTCGTCATGGCAACACGGCATCACCTATCGCCACGGAGACACTGGTCGTCATGGCAACGCGGCATGACCGATCGCTAGGGAGAGACGCGCAGGGGGACACGCGTGGTCGTCATGGCAACACGGCATCACCTATCGCCACGGAGACACGCGTGGTCGTCATGGCGACGACGAGTGATGTGCGCCCCACACTTGGGAGGTTTCCCGCCATTTGTGTAAATCTCGGGGCAGCCCCCCCACGTGACCCGGTGGGGGGGGGGGGGGGCAGTACCACGTGACCTGGGAGGGGGGGGGAGCAGTCCCACGTGACCTGGGAGGGGGGGGCAGTACCATGTGACCTGGGAGGGGGGGGACAGTGGAGGTAGTGGTTGTGGTGGTGGTTGTGGTGGTAGTGGTGGTTGTGGTGGTAGTGGTGGTGGTAGTGGTGGTTGTGGTATTTGAGGTAATGGTGGTTGTGGTAGTGGTGGTTGTGGTGATTGTGGTATTTGAGGTAATGGTGGTTGTGTTAGTGGTGGAAGTGGTGGTAGTGGTGGTTGTTGTGGTTGTGGTGATAGTGGTGGTGGTGGTTGTGGTATTTGAGGTAATGGTGGTTGTGTTAGTGGTGGAAGTGGTGGTAGTGGTGGTTGTTTGTGGTTGTGGTGATAGTGGTGGTGGTGGTAGTGGTATTTGAGGTAATGGTGGTTGTGGTAGAGTGGTGGTTGTGGTAGTGGTGGTTGTGGTGGTTGTGGTGGGGGAGATAGTGGTTGTGGTGGTTGAGGTAATGGTGGTTGAGGTAGTGGTGGTTGTGGTGGTTGTGGTAGTTGTGGTGGTAGTGGTATTTGAGGTAATGATGGTTGTGGTAGTGGTGGTTGTGGTATTTGAGGTAATGGTGGTTGTGGTGGTGGTGGTTGTGGTAGTGGTGGTTGTGGTATTTGAGGTAATGGTGGTTGTGGTGATGATTGTGGTAGTGGTGGTGGTAGTGGTTGTGGTGGTAGTGGAGGTAGTGGTTGTGGTAGTGGTGGTAATGGTGGTTGTGGTGGTTGTGGTGATGATTGTGGTAGTGGTGGTGGTTGTGGTAGTGGTGGTTGTGTAGGTAGTGGTTGTGGAGGTGGTGGTTGTGGTGGAAGTGGTGGTTGTGTTGGTTGTGGTTGGTGGTATTGGAGGTCGTGGAGGTTGTGGTAGTGGTTGTTGTGGTATTGGAGGTAGTGGTTGTGGAGGTAGTGGTGGTTGTGGTGGTGGTTGTGGAGGTAGTGGTGGTAGTGGTGGTTGTGGTATTTGAGGCAATGGTGGTAGTGGTGGTTGTGGTGGTAGTGGTGGTTGTGGTATTTGAGGTAATGGTGGTTGTGGTAGTGGTGGTTGTGGTGATAGTGGTAGTTGTGGTGGTTGAGGTAATGGTGGTTGAGGTAGTGGTGGTTGTGGTAGTTGTGGTATTTGAGGTAATGGTGGTTGTGGTGGTGGTTGTGGTTGTAGTTGTGGTAGTGGTTGTTGTGGTAGTGGTTGTGGTAGTTGTGGTAGTAGTGGTTGTGGTAGTTGTGGTGGTGGTTGTTGTGGTAGTTGTGGTAGTGGTAGTAGTGGTAGTTGTGGTTGTGGTAGTTGTGGTAGTAGTGGTTGTGGTAGTTGTGGTGGTTGTGGTAGTTGTGGTTGTTGTGGTAGTGGTGGTTGTGGTAGTTGTGGCAGTGGTGGTGGTAGTGGTTGTGGTAGTTGTGGTGGTGGTTGTAGTAGTGGTTGTGGTAGTTGTGGTGGTTGTAGTTGTGGTAGTGGTTGTGGTAGTTGTGGTTGTTGTGGTTGTGGTGGTTGTAGTTGTGGTAGTGGTTGTGGTAGTTGTGGTTGTAGTAGTGGTTGTGGTTGTTGTGGTAGTTGTGGTGGTTGTAGTAGTGGTTGTGGTAGTTGTGGTAGTTGTGGTTGTTGTGGTGGTTGTAGTAGTGGTTGTGGTAGTTGTGGTAGTGGTTGTTGTGGTTGTGGTAGTTGTAGTAGTGGTAGTTGTGGTTGTTGTGGTTGTGGTAGTTGTGGTAGTTGTGGTTGTTGTGGTGGTTGTAGTAGTGGTTGTGGTAGTTGTGGTAGTGGTTGTTGTGGTTGTGGTAGTTGTAGTAGTGGTAGTTGTGGTTGTTGTGGTTGTGGTAGTTGTGGTAGTTGTGGTTGTTGTGGTGGTTGTAGTAGTGGTTGTGGTAGTTGTGGTAGTGGTTGTTGTGGTTGTGGTAGTAGTGGTAGTTGTGGTTGTTGTGGTTGTGGTAGTTGTAGTAGTGGTTGTGGTTGTTGTGGTTGTTGTGGTTGTTGTGGTTGTTGTAGTTGTGGTTGTAGTTGTGGTTGTTGTGGTTGTTGTGGTTGTTGTGGTTGTGGTAGTTGTGGTTGTGGTTGTTGTGGTTGTTGTGGTAGTGGTTGTAGTTGTGGTTGTTGTGGTTGTTGTGGTTGTTGTGGTTGTGGTAGAGGAGTTCTCCTCACCAGTCGGCGCCCAGAGCGCGTGGTGGTGGTGGTTGTGGTTGTGGTGGTGTCGGCGGCCTCCATGATCGCGTCTCTCGAGCGACGCTCGCTCCACCTCCTCCTCGTGTCCACCTCGTCTCTACCACCTCCTCCTCGTCGTGTCCACCTCCTCCTCCTGGTGTCCACCTCGTCTCGTCCACCTCGTCTCGTCTCTACCCCGCGATGGCGCCTCACGCTGCAGAAAACTCTCAGCCCCACGCCGCCATCTTCCTCACGCCTGCGCGCTGACGTCACGCCACACGGCGCGGTGACGTCACCCGGAGGTGGTCCGCCGTGCGCGGTGACGTTGACCGGAGGTGGTCCGCCGTGCGCGGTGACGTCACCCGGAGGTGGTCCGCCGCGCGCGGTGACGTCAACAGGAGGTGGTCGCCGTGCGCGGTGACGTCGACCAAAGGTGATCCGCCGCGCGCGGTGACGTTACCCGGAAGTGGTCGCCGTGCGCGCTGACGTCACCGGATGTGGTCCGCCGCGCGCGGTGACGTCGTTTCATGTCTGGGGGCTTGCGTTCGCTGCTGGGTTGACGTCACCACGCAACCTCTGCGTGATGACGTTGCCCGCTCCCTCCCCGGTTAGGGGTTAAGTGGAGTGCGCGGTGACGTCACCACGCCACACTCCGCGGTGACGTCACCGGATTCAGGGTTTGAGTGCCTCATCCGGGTCACGTAATGATACGTCGTGACGTCTCCAGTGCCCGATGACGTCACCACGTAAGGTTCCCGCGGGCACGTAAATGCGTCGTGACGTCATCCCGTAGTACTACGCTTCATGCGCGGTGACGTCACCGAGCTTTACGTCATGATGTGCCCAGCTTTAAGGGAGTTGGCGCGCGTGATCCGGGTCACGTAACGACACAATGACATCATCGGTAAAGTTACATCGCTGCTGGATCGCGTCACTAAATGCGACTGTACTACGTGACGTCACCCTTCAAGACGTGTGTGATGACGTCGAGAAATTATATTTCGAGACGTCACCCGTTGCATTGATGTGTAATGACGTCACGTAAAAGAAACGGCATGACTTCACGTGCGGGTACCGTGCCGACGCCGCCCGAAGGTGCGAGATGACGTCACGCATACTCAAGCGTGCTTCGTGACGTCACGCATACTCAAGCGTGCTTCGTGACGTCACGCAATAATTGTGCAGACATGAGGTCATTATTCACCCATCAACTGTGCCAGGCTAGGTGCAGGAGGTCACGGGACAGACCCTGCAGGTGCCACAGGTTGTGCTGCTGTGCCAGGCTAGGTGCACCAGGAGGAGGTCACGGGGCAGACCCAGCAGGTGCCACGGGTAGACTGAGATGACTGGCTGATGCACCACCTGTGCCCCCTACTGTGCCAACCTGCTGTGCTTTAGCCACCCGGCGCTCCGCTCGTTGTTGTGAGCGTCGCTCCTCCGCCCTCCGTTGTTGTTGGAGGGCGACTACCTCCAACTGCCCAGTAGCATCCTTCACGAGCCTCCTCCACAGAGGCCGATCTTGACACCGCTGGTACCAGTCATCGGCAAGTCCACTCAGCTCCACGTCCTCCTGTACCACATCACTCCATCTCTTCTCTAGCCCGTGCCGCGCCCGCTTAGCCCCCTCAATCCGGCCAAACAAAAGCTGTTTCGGCATGCGGTGGCTGGGCATGCGGGCTACATGACCCAGCCATCGCAGCCTTGCCTGCCGATGGAACTTTGTCCAGATCTTGAAAGAATTTGTGAGCTACTCACACAATCCAGTCTGGTTAAACCCAGGATGGATCGTAGGCAGGCCAGCCTAAATGTTTCTAACCGGCGAAGATGTTCCATTAGAGGTGTCCACATTTCGCAAGCGTAGAGAAGGGAGGGAATGATTGTGCCCGAGAAGACCTGAAGCTTAGTGCGGAGCGACAGACCAGGTAGCTTCCACACAGCGTTACGCAACCGATGAAAAGATATTGCCGCTCGACTGATTCGGAGTGAGACCTCTGCTGTTAAACTGGAGCCGGTCATGAGCACACTTCCCAGGTATGGGAAACTCTCCACTCTCTCCACAACTGCCCTATCACCAATTGGGAGTTGTGGGGGTGGAGTGTCCGATGGTCCAAAATACCCAGGCAGGTGCTTAGTTTTGGTGGGGCTGATGGTAAGGCCCCACCTCTTAGTGGCACGCTCCAGTCTCAGCAGCAGCGTCTCCAACTCCTCCTCTGAGCAGCAATCACCAGATCATTGGCATACATAACGTGGTTGAGCAATAGGGAGCCATCCCTTAACCGCACCTGGGCATCGATCAGCCTCCCATTTTATCTGTACCAGATTGAAATTCCCCCGGTACAGCTATTGAAGGCTTCATGAACTACGTGGTCGAAATAGGTGTTCAATAATGTGGGAGCCAGAGGACATCCCTGTCGCACCCCAAGGTGTACAGGGAATGGCTCTGACTCCCGGCCACGTAGTTTTACCCGGGCCCACTCACCATCATGAAGGTCCTTAATGATCGTGAGCAGAGGGTCAGGTACTCCAAAAGCACGAAGAACGACCCAGAGCCCAGGCCTACTGATGGTATCATAGGCCTTGACCAGGTCAATAAAGCAGAGATGTAGGTCTTGTTGGAATTCCCTACACCTCCGCTGTAGCAGACGGACAGAAAATATGGCATCTGTGCAGGACCGCCCTTTCTAGAAACAGCACTGGGCCTCTGCAAGCCTCTCCTCAGCGTGCCTGGCAAGGCGATGTTGAATAATCCTTGCCAGGACCTATCCCGGCACACTGAGTGAGATGCCCCTGTAGTTGTTACAGTCTGTGCGGTCCCCCTTCTTAAAGAGGGGGACCACCAGGGCATCCTTCCAATCCTGCGGAACCCATCCAGTGGTCCAGACTGTTGTTATGATGTCATGTAGGGCAGTCTGTGCACAAATGCCACCCTCCGTCAATATTTCGCTTGGGAGATCATCTCTGCCTGCTGCCTTTCCTGGTCTCAGATTCCGGATCGCCTTTAGTACTTCCTCAACAGATGGCACCTCAGCCAGCCACTCACAGGGGGTGACTTCCTCCAATATTTGAGGCACCGCAGCCTCAGCAGGGTCATCCCCACTTTGTGCCACGATGTTTTCCAGGCTGAGGGATTTCCCCTCCCCCAGGACCTCACAGAAATGCTCAGCAAATGTGCAAACCTGTTCCTGGGGGTCGGAGATTGGATCACCGTTTTTTTCCCTAATGATGGTAATAGGTGTGGCGCTGCAGATTACTTTTTTGATGGAGTTAAATAGAGATTTGTGATCGCGGGCCACTGAGGCAGACTCCATCTCCTCAGCAACCCGCAACCACCACCCATCCTCGCCTGGCCTCACGGCTCTCCAAACCTCCGAGCGAAGGCTGCGGTAAGCCTCCTCATTCTCTGACGTGGGATGCTGTAGCCGATGACAGTGGGCCTGTCGCTTTTTCTCAACTATCTTGAACACCTCTGTCAGCCAGGGTCTCTGGGGAGGTCTGGACCGCGTACCCAAAGCAGCCATTGCCGCTGCATCACAGTCCTAAACCAGCAAGATCGCTAATCAGCGATCTTGCTGTGACTGTCCCACCTGAAGACGGAAGCTTGTGTTGCCTCCGAAACGTCGTGAGAATTTTTATTATTTTATCCCCATTCTACGTAACTTTACCTAAAGAACCAAGAAGATGAATCCCTGCAGTCACGAAAGCTTTAAATCGAAACTCGCCCATTTACCCTCGACATCAGGAGTGGGGGACGATGCCAATCCCAGCCGCAAGCGATGATGAAATTCTCGCTCGAAACTTTCATCAGATAACTGAGACCAGGCCACTTTAGGTTGGAATGGGGTCCTGGGTGAACACCCACCACCGGAGTGGAAGAATGGCAAGCGCATCTTACAAATGACAAGTCGATGGTCAGTGGGCAGATCAGCTCCACGGTAGGTCCTGGTGTCAAGGACATGGGCTCGCATCCGCTGGTCTGTCACTATGTAGTCCAGCAGATGTTCTTGCTTGGACCCGGCATGCATCCATGATGTTGTGTGGATGCGCCGATGCCGGAACAGCGTGTTGGTAATTACAAGCCCATGGGCTGCACAAAAATCTAGCAGCCTCCTACCGTTGTCATTGAGCTGATCTGGCCCATGCCTTCCAATCACTCCAGACCAGGTGCCAGCATCATGACCAACTCGGGCATTAAAGTCGCCCATCAGGATGACTCTATCCCGAGGTGCCACTTTAGCTAGCACCTGTGACAAGAGGTTATATCACTACCACCACCATCACCATCATCACCACCACCACCAGCAGCACCATCATCACCATCACCACCAGCAGCACCATCATCACCACCATCATCACCACCACCACCAGCAGCACCATCATCACCATCACCACCAGCAGCACCATCATCACCATCACCACCAGCAGCACCATCATCACCATCACCACCATCATCACCATCACCACCAGCAGCACCATCATCACCATCACCACGAGCAGCACCATCATCACCATCACCAATGGAATCTTCAAAAAAAGAATCAAAAACGTTGCGAAATTCCAAATATTTATCAACCCACGCGCGCACGCACAAACTCGCGTACGTACACGCACACATGCGTACACACACACACGTACAACACGCGTACAACATGCGTACAACACGCGTACACACACGTACACGCGTACACACAGACACGTACATGCATACACACACTCACGCTCACACGCGCACGCACAAACACGCACGCACACCTCAGCGTTCAAAGTGCCCCGTCTTTCCCCTAGGTCCGCTCAGTCCTAACGGTCGAGGGCATTGGGGTGGAGGGGAGTCCCAGCCACGCCGAGAATCACCAAAACCAATCACGGCACGGTGCTGGTGGTCGTGGTGGTGGTTGTTGTTGTGGTAGTAGTGGTTGTGGCAGCTGTCGTTGTTGTGGTAGTTGTTGTTGTGGTGGTTGTTGTGGTGGTTGTTGTTGTTGTGGTTGTGGCAACAGAGCCACTTTCCACTCAGTCTCTCCCCCTCTTCAGCGGAGTTCAGAGGTGAGAGTTCAACTCCAGCGTGTGGTTGTTATGATGATGGTGGTGGTGTAAGAGGCTCACCAGGTCACAGGTGACCCAGCGGAGTTCAGAGGTGAGAGTTCAACTCCAGCGTGTGGTTGTTATGATGATGGTGGTGGTGGTGGTGTAAGAGACTCACCAGGTCACAGGTGACCCAGTGGAGTTCAGAGGTGAGAGTTCAACTCCAGCGTGTGGTTGTTATGATGGTGGTGGTGGTGGTGTAAGAGACTCACCAGGTCACAGGTGACCCAGTGGAGTTCAGAGGTGAGAGTTCAACTCCAGCGTGTGGTTGTTATGATGGTGGTGGTGGTGGTGTAAGAGACTCACCAGGTCACAGGTGACCCAGTGGAGTTCAGAGGTGAGAGTTCAACTCCAGCGTGTGGTTGTTATGATGATGATGGTGGTGGTGTAAGAGGCTCACCAGGTCACAGGTGACCCAGCAGAGTTCAGAGGTGAGAGTTCAACTCCAGCGTGTGGTTGTTATGATGATGGTGGTGGTGTAAGGGGCTCACCAGGTCACAGGTGACCCAGTGGAGTTCAGAGGTGAGAGTTCAACTCCAGCGTGTGGTTGTTATGATGATGGTGGTGGTGGTGTAAGGGGCTCACCAGGTCACAGCTGACCCAGCTGACGACCAAATCAGCTGGTGCTAACCCCCCCCCCCCCAACCCAACGTGTCATGGAAGAGGGTCGTTGCCCAAACCGTTGTCTATTTGTACACGCACACACACAGCCCATGAGGGTCACACAGTGGTGGTGGTGGTGATGTTGACGATGTTGACAGTATTGATGGTGTTGGTGATGTTGTTGTTGACAATGTTGTTGTTGACGATGTTGTCGTTGTTGACGATGTTGTCGTTGTTGACGATGTTGTTGTTGTTGATGATGTTGATAGTATTGATGTTGTTGGTGATGTTGTTGACAATGTTGTTGTTGACGATGTTCTTGTTGACGATGCTGTTGTTGACGATGTTGTTGTTGTTGTTGACGATGTTGACAGTATTGATGTTGTTGGTGATGTTGTTGTTGACAATGTTGTTGTTGACGATGTTGTCGTTGTTGACGATGTTGTTAGTATTGATGGTGTTGGTGATGTTGATGTTGACAATGTTGTTGTTGACGATGTTGATAGTATTGATGGTGTTGTTGACGATGTTGTTGTTGTTGTTGACGATGTTGATAGTATTGATGGTGTTGTTGACGATGTTATCGCTGTTGACGATGTTGATAGTATTGATGTTGTTGTTGACGATGTTATCGCTGTTGACGATGTTGATAGTATTGATGTTGTTGTTGACGATGTCGTTGTTGTTGACGATGTTGATGGCAGTGATGTTGCTGGCGTTGATTTTGTCGTTGTTGACGATGTTGTTGTTGTTGACAATGTTGTTGTCGATGATGTTGATGATGTTGACGATGTTGTTGTTGACAATGTTGTTGTCGATGATGTTGATGATGTTGACGATGTTGTTGTTGACAATGTTGTTGTCGATGATGTTGATGACGATGTTGTTGTTGTTGACAATGTTGTTGTCGATGATGTTGATGATGTTGACGATGTTGTTGTTGTTGTTGACAATGATGTTGTCGATGATGTTGATGATGTTGACGATGTTGTTGTTGTTGTTGACAATGTTGTTGTCGATGATGTTGATGTTGTTGACGATGTTGTTGACAATGTTGTTGTCGATGATGTTGATGACGATGTTGTTGTTGTTGACAATGTTGTTCTCGATGATGTTGTTGACGATGTTGTTGTTGTTAATGTTGTCGATGATGTTGTTGACGATGTTGTTGTTGTTGTTAATGTTGTCGATGATGTTGTTGACGATGTTGTTATTGCTGACAATATTTATGTTGTTGATGATGTTGACGGTGTTGATGTTGTTGTCAATGCTGATGGTGTTCATGTTGTTGTCGTTGTTGACGATGTTGTTAATGTTGATATTGTTGACAATGTAGATGTTGTTGACGGTGATGTTGTTGTTGTTGACAATGTTAAGATGTCGCTGTCTGTCGCCGTGTCTGCGAGAGGCCCCTTGGCCCCGCTAGGCGAGGCCTAGGCCCCGCTAGGCAAGGCCTAGGCCCACTAGGCGAGGTCTTAGCCCCGCTAGGCGAGGCCTAGTGGGGCCTATGCCCCTGCTAGGCGAGGCCTAGCCCCGCTAGGCGAGGCCTTGACCCCGCTAGGCGAGGCCTTGACCCCGCTAGGCGAGGCCTTGACCCCGCTAGGCGAGGCCTAGGCCCCGCTAGGCGAGGCCTTGACCCCGCTAGGCGAGGCCTTGGCCCCGCTAGGCGAGGCCTTGGCCCCGCTAGGCGAGGCCTAGGCCCAGCTAGGCGAGGCCTAGGCTCCACTAGGTGAGGCCTTAGCCCCGCTAGGCGAGGCCTAGCCCAGCTAGGCGAGGCCTTTAGCCCCACTAGGCGAGGCCTTAGCCCCGCTAGGCGAGGCCTAGCGGGGCCTAGGCCTCGCTAGGCGAGGCCTAGGCCCCGCCGTTCTCCTCCCCGTCGCCTGGCCGCCCTCCCCCATTGGGCGCCCCTGCGGGGGGGGGGCGCTGTGCCGCCGCCCCCCCCCCCGCCCCAGCGGTACCCCCCCGGCGCGTCTTCCGGTAGGGGGGTGTAGTCCGGCTCCTCCTCAGGGGGGTCAAACAGCAGGTGCCTGGGGGGGGTAGGGGAAGCGGGTGAGAGGGGGGAGAGATGGGGTGAGAGGGGGTAAATCTCTATGCATCATCTCCATGCATCTCTCGGACGGGCAACTCTGTCGTGGACAGTGCTGTGGGGGGAGGTGCCAATTTCGATTGGCTCCTCCCCTCATGGCGTCTGTGACCACCACAGGGGCTACACGGGGGCTCTGGACGGGTGCGAGGGGCTGGTAACCCCTCCACCTTCAATTAATTACCATTAAACCGCGAGTTAAACTGAAATATGTAACTAATAAGCTTGTGCCGGAGGCCCCGTGGGGCCAGGCGTCTATGACGTCTCCTGGCCAAACCCCAATTGGCGGAGCCAGGGGATTGAATCTCTACCCTCGGGGCTCCTCCAGAAACAACGAAAAACCACTACGGGTGGCCACGTGGAATGTTCGAACGCTCACTGCGGAGGAGAGGCTGCCACTCCTCTGTCGGGAGCTGGACCAGTACCGCCTGGATCTATGTGGCATTCAGGAGGTCCGGTGGACCGGTTCTGGCTCCTGCCACCGAGAGGGGTGGACAGTCCTCTACTCGGGGCAGCAGACTGCCAAACAACAGGGTGTGGCTCTTCTTTTGAACAAAAGAATGAAGGGGGCGTGGGAGCGTGGCGGTGAGGTGTGGGAAGCTGTAAGCCCCAGGCTACTTTGAGCTCGCCTTCCCATCAACCGGAGGCGAGGAATGGTGGTCGTGGTTACTTATGCCCCCACCGAAGATGAACATCTGTGGAGGGATGCAGGCAAAGCCGATGAGTCAGATGCCTTCTATGACCTCCTGTCACAGGTGCTGGCTAAAGTGGCCCCTCGGGATAGAGTCATCATGTTGGGTGACTTCAATGCCGGAGTTGGTCTTGATGCTGGCACCTGGTCCGGAGTGCTTGGAGGGCATGGGCCAGATCAGCTCAATAACAACGGTAGGAGGCTGCTAGATTTTTGTGCAGCCCATGGGCTTGTAATTACCAACACGCTGTTCCGGCATCGGCGCATCCACACAACATCATGGATGCATGCCGGGTCCAAGCAAGAACATCTGCTGGACTACATAGTGACGGACCAGCAGATGCGAGCCCATGTCCTTGACACCAGGACCTACCGTGGAGCTGATCTGCCATTCTTCCACTCCGGTGGTGGGTGTACACCCAGGACCCCATTCCAACCTAAAGTGGCCTGGTCTCAGTTATCTGATGAAAGTTGCAAGCGAGAATTTCATCATCGCTTGCGGCTGGGATTGGCATCGTCCCCGACTCCTCCTGATGTCGAGGGTAAACGGGCGAGGTTTAGGACTGTGACTCATGCAGCTGCAATGGCTGCTGTGGGTACGCGGTCCAGACCTCCCCAGAGACCCTGGCTGACAGAGGTGTTCAGGATGGTTGAGAAAAAGCGACAGGCCCACTGTCATCGGCTACAGAATCCCACGTCAAAGAATGAGGAGGCTTACCGCAGCCTTCGCTCGGAGGTTCGGAGAGCCGTGAGGCGCTGCAAGGATGGGTGGTGGTCGCAGGTTGCTGAGGAGATGGAGTCTGCCTCAGTGGCCCGTGATCACAAATCTCTCTTTAACTCCATAAAAAAAGTAACCTGCAGCGCCACACCTATTACCATCATTAGGCGAAAAAACGGTGATCCAATCTCCGACCCCCAGGAACAGGTTTGCAGATTTGCTGAGCATTTCTGTGAGGTCCTGGGGAGGGGAAATCCCTCAGCCAGGAAAACATCGTGGCACAAAGTGGGGATGACCCTGCTGAGGCTGCGGTGCCTCAAATATTGGAAGAAGTCACCCCCTGTGAGTGGCTGGCTGAGGTGCCATCTGTTGAGGAAGTACTAAAGGCGATCCGGAGTCTGAGACCAGGAAAGGCAGCGGGCAGAGATGATCTCCCAAGCGAAATGCTGAGGGAGGGTGGCGTTTGTGCACAGACTGCCCTATATGACATCATAACAACAGTCTGGACCACTGGACGGGTTCCGCAGGATTGGAAGGATGCCCTGGTGGTCCCCCTCTTAAAGAAGGGGGACCGCACAGACTGTAACAACTACAGGGGCATCTCACTCCTCAGTGTGCCGGGAAAGGTCCTGGCAAGGATTATTCAACATCGCCTTGCCAGGCACGCTGAGGAGAGGCTTGTGGAGCCCCAATGCGGTTTCAGGAAAGGGCGGTCCTGCACAGATGCCATATTTTCTGTCCGTCTGCTACAGCAGAGGTGTAGGGAATTCCAACAAGACCTACATCTCTGCTTTATTGACCTGGTCAAGGACTATGATACCATCAGTAGGCCTGGGCACTGGGTTGTTCTTCGTGCTTTTGGAGTACCTGACCCTCTGCTCACGATCATTAAGGACCTTCATGATGGTGAGCGGGCCCGGGTAAAACTACGTGGCCAGGAGTCAGAGCCATTCCCTGTACACCTTGGGGTGCGACAGGGATGTCCTCTGGCTCCCACATTATTTAACATCTATTTTGACCACGTAGTTCGTGAAGCCTTCAATAGCTGTACCGGGGGAATCTCCAAATGGTACAGATATAATGGGAGGCTGATCGATGCCCGGGTGCGGTCAAGGGATAGCTCCCTATTGCTCAACCACGTTATGTATGCAGATGATTTGGTAATAGCTGCTCATTCAGAGGAGGAGTTGGAGATGCTGTTGCTGAGACTGGAGCGTGCCACTAAGAGGTGGGGCCTTACCATCAGCCCCACCAAAACTAAGCACCTGCCTGGGTATTTTGTACCATCGGACACTCCACCCCCACAACTCCCAATCGGTGATAGGGCAGTTGTGGGCAAGGCTGCGATGGATGGGTCATGTAGCCCGCATGCCCAGCCACCGCATGCCGAAACAGCTTTTGTTCGGCCGGATTGAGGGGGCTAAATGGGCGCGGCACGGGCTAGAGAAGAGATGGAGTGATGTGGTACAGGAGGACGTGGAGCTGAGTGGACTTGCCGATGACTGGTACCAGCGGTGTCAAGATCGGCCTCTGTGGAGGAGGCTCGTGAAGGACGCTACTGGGCAATTGGAGGCAATCGCCCTCCAACAACAACGGAGGGCGGAGGAGCGACGCTCAGAACAACGAGCGGAGCGCCGGGTGGCTAAAGCACAGCAGGTTGGCACAGTAGGGGGCACAGGTGGTGCATCAGCCAGTCATCTCAGTCAGTCGACCCGTGGCACCTGGGTCTGCCCAGTGACCTCCTGCCAGCGGGCGTTCGACACTTCACGTGGCCTCACGGTGCACATAGCCTGGCACAAGCGTCGTGGTGACGTCACCGCCACTTAGTGGCGAATGGCGGTTGTTGTTGTTGTGTCTGTGTGTGTCTGTGTGTGTGTGTGTCTGTGTGTGTCTCTGTGTGTGTCTGTATGCGTCAGTCTGTGTGTCAGTGTGTGTGTGTCTGTGTGTGTGTCAGTGTGTATGTGTCTGTGTGTGTGTGTCTCTGTGTGTCTGTGTGTGCGTGTCTGTGTGTGTGTGTGTCTGTGTGTGTGTCTCTGTGTGTGTGTGTCTGTGTGTCTGTGTGTGTGTGTGTCTGTGTGTGTGTGTCTCTGTGTGTGTCTATGTGTGTGTGTGTCTCTGTGTGTTTCTGTCTGTGCCTGTGTGTGTGTGTGTCTGTGTGTGTGTGACTGTGTGTGTGTGTGACTGTGTGTGTGTGTGACTGTGTGTGTGTCTCTGTCTGTGTGTGTGTGTGACTGTGTGTGTGTGTCTCTGTGTGTGTGTCTGTGTGTGTGTGTCTCTGTCTGTGTGTGACTGTGTGTGTGTGTGTGTCTGTGTGTGTGTGTCTCTGTGTGTATCTCTGTGTGTGTGTCTCTGCCGCGTCTCACAGGAGGTGCGGTGTCTTGAGGAGGCGAGTCCCTCCGGGCTGCGTGGGGAAGACGTCCTCCAAGAAGTAGTACACGTGACCCACCGCTATACCTACACACATGTAACACGCGTGTCACACACACGTAACACGTGACCCACCGCTACACCTACACACATGTAACACGTGTAACACGTGACCCACCGCTATACCTACACACATGTAACACACATGTAACACGTGTGTCACACACACGTAACACGTGACCCACCGCTACACCTACACACATGTAACACGTAACACGCGTGTCACACCATCACACAACACCACCATCACAACACCACCATCACAACACCACCATCACAATACCACCATCACAATACCACGCCCACAACACCACCCTCACAATACCACCATCACAACACCACCATCACAACACCACCATCACAATACCACACCCACAATACCACCATCACAATACCACCATCACAACACCACCATCACAACACCACCATCACAACACCACCATTACAACACCACCATCACAATACCACGCCCACAACACCACCCTCACAATACCACCATCACAACACCACCCTCACAATACCACCATCACAACACCACCATCACAACACCACCATCACAACACCACCATCACAACACCACCATCACAATACCACACCCACAATTCCACCATCACAATACCACCATCACAACACCACCATCACAACACCACCATCACAATACCACCATCACAACACCACCATCACAATACCACCATCACAATACCACCATCACAATACCACCATCACAACACCACTATCACAACACCACTCTCACAACACCACCATCACAATACCACCATCACAATAGCACGCTCACAATACCACCCTCACAACACCACCATCACAATACCACGCTCACAATACCACCATCACAACACCACCATCACAACACCTCCCTCACAACACCACCATCACAACACCTCCCTCACAACACCACCATCACAATACCACCATCACAATAGCACGCTCACAATACCACCATCACAATACCACCATCACAATACCACCATCACAACACCACCCTCACAACACCACCATCACAACACCACCATCACAACACCACCATCACAACACCACGCTCACAATACCACGCCCACAACACCACCCTCACAATACCACCATCACAACACCACCATCACAACACCACCATCACAATACCACCATCACAATACCACGCCCACAACACCACCCTCACAATACCACCATCACAACACCACCATCACAACACCACCATCACAACACCACCATCACAATACCACACCCACAATACCACCATCACAATACCACCATCACAACACCACCATCACAACACCACCATCACAACACCACCATCACAATACCACGCCCACAACACCACCCTCACAATACCACCATCACAACACCACCCTCACAATACCACCATCACAACACCACCATCACAACACCACCATCACAACACCACCATCACAATACCACACCCACAATTCCACCATCACAATACCACCATCACAACACCACCATCACAATACCACCATCACAACACCACCATCACAAAACCACCATCACAATACCACCATAACAACACCACTATCACAACACCACTCTCACAACACCACCATCACAATAGCACGCTCACAATACCACCCTCACAACACCACCATCACAACACCTCCCTCACAACACCACCATCACAACACCTCCCTCACAACACCACCATCACAATACCACCATCACAATACCACCATCACAATAGCACGCTCACAATACCACCCTCACAACACCACCATCACAATACCACGCTCACAACACCACCCTCACAATACCACCCTCACAACACCACCATCACAATACCACGCTCACAATACCACCATCACAACACCACCATCACAACACCACCATCACAACACCACGCTCACAATACCACGCCCACAACACCACCCTCACAATACCACCATCACAACACCACTATCACTACACCACTCTCACAACACCACCATCACAATACCACCATCACAATAGCACGCTCACAATACCACCCTCACAACACCACCATCACAATACCACGCTCACAATACCACCATCACAACACCACCATCACAACACCTCCCTCACAACACCACCATCACAACACCTCCCTCACAACACCACCATCACAATACCACCATCACAATACCACCATCACAATAGCACGCTCACAATACCACCATCACAATACCACCATCACAATACCACCATCACAACACCACCCTCACAACACCACCATCACAACACCACCATCACAACACCACCATCACAACACCACGCTCACAATACCACGCCCACAACACCACCCTCACAATACCACCATCACAACACCACCATCACAACACCACCATCACAATACCACCATCACAATACCACGCCCACAACACCACCCTCACAATACCACCATCACAACACCACCATCACAACACCACCATCACAACACCACCATCACAATACCACATCCACAATACCACCATCACAATACCACCATCACAACACCACCATCACAACACCACCATCACAACACCACCATCACAATACCACGCCCACAACACCACCCTCACAATACCACCATCACAACACCACCCTCACAATACCACCATCACAACACCACCCTCACAATACCACCATCACAACACCACCATCACAACACCACCATCACAACACCACCATCACAATACCACACCCACAATTCCACCATCACAACACCACCATCACAATACCACCATCACAACACCACCATCACAATACCACCATCACAATACCACCATAACAACACCACTATCACAACACCACTCTCACAACACCACCATCACAATAGCACGCTCACAATACCACCCTCACAACACCACCATCACAACACCTCCCTCACAACACCACCATCACAACACCTCCCTCACAACACCACCATCACAATACCACCATCACAATACCACCATCACAATAGCACGCTCACAATACCACCCTCACAACACCACCATCACAATACCACGCTCACAACACCACCCTCACAATACCACCCTCACAACACCACCATCACAATACCACGCTCACAATACCACCATCACAACACCACCATCACAACACCACCATCACAACACCACGCTCACAATACCACGCCCACAACACCACCCTCACAATACCACCATCACAACACCTCCCTCACAACACCACCGTCACAACACCTCCCTCACAATACCACCATCACAACACCACCATCACAACACCTCCCTCACAACACCACCGTCACAACACCTCCCTCACAATACCACCCTCACAACACCACCATCACAACACCACCCTCACAACACCACCCTCACAACACCATCACAACACCAGCAACACAACACCACCAACACAACACCACCATCACAACACCACCCTCACAACACCACCCTCACAACACCACCATCACAACACCACCATCACAACACCACCATCACAACACCACCCCCACAACACCACCATCACAACACCACCATCACAACACCACCAACACAACACCACCATCACAACACCACCCTCACAACACCACCATCACAACACCACCATCACAACACCACCCTCACAACACCACCATCACAACACCACCATCACAACACCACCATCACAATACCACCCTCACAACACCACCATTACAATACCACCATCACAACACCACCCTCACAACACCAACACAACACCACCATCACAACACCACCCTCACAACACCACCCTCACAACACCATCACAACACCACCAACACAACACCACCAACACAACACCACCATCACAACACCACCCTCACAACACCACCCTCACAACACCACCATCACAACACCACCCTCACAACACCACCATCACAACACCACGCTCACAATACCACGCCCACAACACCACCCTCACAATATCACCATCACAACACCACCATCACAACACCACCATCACAACACCACCATCACAATACCACCATCACAATACCACGCCCACAACACCACCCTCACAATACCACCATCACAACACCACCATCACAACACCACCATCACAACACCACCATCACAATACCACACCCACAATTCCACCATCACAATACCACCATCACAACACCACCATCACAACACCACCATCACAATACCACCATCACAATACCACCATAACAACACCACTATCACAACACCACTCTCACAACACCACCATCACAATACCACGCTCACAATACCACCATCACAACACCACCATCACAACACCTCCCTCACAACACCACCATCACAACACCTCCCTCACAACACCACCATCACAATACCACCATCACAATACCACCATCACAATAGCACGCTCACAATACCACCCTCACAATACCACGCTCACAACACCACCCTCACAATACCACCCTCACAACACCACCATCACAATACCACGCTCACAATACCACCATCACAACACCACCATCACAACACCACCATCACAACACCACGCTCACAATACCACGCCCACAACACCACCCTCACAATACCACCATCACAACACCTCCCTCACAACACCACCGTCACAACACCTCCCTCACAATACCACCATCACAACACCACCATCACAACACCTCCCTCACAACACCACCGTCACAACACCTCCCTCACAATACCACCCTCACAACACCACCATCACAACACCACCATCACAACACCACCATCACAACACCACCCTCACAACACCACCCTCACAACACCACCCTCACAACACCATCACAACACCACCAACACAACACCACCAACACAACACCACCATCACAACACCACCCTCACAACACCACCCTCACAACACCACCATCACAACACCACCATCACAACACCACCATCACAACACCACCCCCACAACACCACCATCACAACACCACCATCACAACACCACCAACACAACACCACCATCACAACACCACCCTCACAACACCACCATCTCAACACCACCATCACAACACCACCCTCACAACACCACCATCACAACACCACCATCACAACACCACCATCACAATACCACCCTCACAACACCACCATTACAATACCACCATCACA